AGGTAGATGCCTACAGATGCACCGAGGCTGCTGACCTCAGGGCAGCGAGTGCCGCAGGCCCACAGGACATACATTCCTTTCTACCAACCTCTCTCCTGGTGCAAATCCCTCTCCAGACACCGTGGGATCTTCCCACCAGTGTACTGAGCAGCCCAGTAACCATGCGCTGCTCTGGTCTTCATACTGAGTGACACTTCCATTCTTTTTAGTTTATATTATGAGACAGGGTCTCACTAAGCCACTCAGTTGAACTTGAGATGCTCCTGCCTCAGCCTGCCAGAGTACTAGATGACAGGCCTGCACCACCATACCCAAGTCCTTGTCCTCTCTCGGGTTGGGGTCACAGGACTGTCACCATGTGCAGCCCCCCTCTGTTTTGGCTGAATTTCCTAAATTCACCAACTTCTCACATCTATTTTGGGTCCTGGAACATTCACATCCTCCTAGAGCAGAGATTTCCTCTCTGAACACTGCTGCTCACCACTTACATAATCAGAGAAAAATAAAAACATCTTTTCAAACCAAAGTAAAAACCCAACAGAGCCAGCGACCTCTGAAAAGGGAGAAACTATCCGGGGCAGGATGTAAACATGTTTGCCAGATGAATCTAGTGTGGATAACTGGGTTTTTTCTTTTGCAGGACTGGGGTGTTGAACCCACGACCTTTTCACTGACCTCCAGCCTCATTTTCTTTATTTTTGTATTTTGAGACTGAGTTCTGCTAAGTGGCAGAGTCCAGACTGGACTCCAGCTTTTGGTCCTCCTGCCTCAGCCTCCCAGGGTGCTGGGGTCCCTGGCCTGCAACACGGTTTAGGCGAGTGCCACACACCCCACAGATACCCCTTGACCCGGGAAGCAGGCAGAACGGGACACACTCAGCTGGGATGGTGTGCGGGCTGGAGTGGGGGACTGGCACGGGGACAGGATGGGTGGCCTCTTCCTTCTTGGGTGCATGAGGTACACATGGTGAGTGGGGGGCTGAGGCATGTCCTGTCCCCGCAAGCACTAGATTCCAGGGATTTAGGGTGCTTCCACTAAACAGGGTGTCCGGCCAGGCTGAGCCTCTGCTCGCAGCGGGATGCAGAGGAGCCAAGCAGCGGCACGAGGAGGAGGCCCGTGCCACAGGACACCACAAGTGTCTCTCAGGCTCCAGAAGTGCAAGTCCCATTCTCACCACACTGCAGTCTCAGTCAGGGGCTTTTCTCTAACTGCTGGCCATGCCGTGTGGTTAGAGCCATAGCAACACCTGCTAGGTCTTTGTTCAAACATCACCGATGTCCTGGAACCTCCCCAGGCCTGTCTGTCTGTCCACCCACTCATCCAACTATCTCTTTCTCTCTGTGTCTCTGTCTGTCCATCCGTCAATCCATCCACCCATTCATCCAACTATATATCTATCCATTCATCCACTCACCCATTCAGCTATATATCTATCCATCCAGCCATTCATCCATCCTTCTACCTATCCATCCATCTATCCACCCACCTATCTATCTATGTATCATCTATCCATCCACCCATCTGTTTTATCTATCTGTCCATCCACCTACCCATCCATCCAACTATCTGTCCATCCACCCACCCACCCAGTCTGTCTGTCTGTCTGTCTGTCTGTCTGTCTGTCTGTCTGCCCGCCCTAGTCTTGGGGCTCAAATTCAGTGAACTACATCTCTAGTCTTTTTTTTGTTTTTTTGAACCAGGGACTCTTTGGATCACTAAGTTGTCCAGTCTAGGTGTGAGCTTTTGATCTTCCTGTCTCAGCCTCCCAGGTGCTGGGTCCACGGGCCTGTACCACCTTCTCTGAGCAGATTTTCTACTTGGAGAGCTGCCCTCTCTCCCTCTCCCGCGCATGTCACCGCGTGGGAAACCCTTTTATACTTTGTACTTTAATTATGAATGTACCACCCATCTCCCTTCCCTGAGGAGCTCACTGAGGCCGATTCTGTCTGTGTATCTGCCTGCCTGCCCACCTGTCTGTCTTACGCATTTTTTTGCGGGGCCCCCACCCTAGACTTTCCAGGCAACTGGGCCCCCTTAGGCGTAGCTTCTCCAGCCAGGGGTCCCCCGGCCCTGAGCCGTTCCCCACCTAAACCTTCAGCCCCATCTTGCACAGAGCCCCAGGAAAATTCTCCCAGCCTCAGAATCAGTGGCAGCCACGCTTTTCCCTGGCAACAGGTTTATTTTTACCTTACAGAGGCTGGAGTCAAGGGCACCAGTCATGTGACCGTTTCCTCCGTTTCCATTGGCTACTGAGGAGCTGGAGGCGGGGCGTTGCTTACCCGGGCAGGGACCCTGGATGGAGGCTGGATTTCCATGAAAGTAGATGTGCGGCTTCATTTGCTTTCTCCTGGCTCATTTTACCTCTCCCGTCTTTCTTATAATAATGTGACATATATATCTGTAAATATTATTTACATATTTGTAAATTCCCTCTCCTGTGGGAGGAGGTAGACGATGAGACAAGGGGTGAGAGGGAGAGAAACCTTCTCTCCTCCGGGTTTTGATCTGCTGTGATTTCTGCCCCTGCCCCTCCGGGCCTGCAGTGAGCTCCACCAGGACTGGGGACCCGCATCCTCCCGAGAGGGACGTTTCCCCTACACAGAAAGGAAGGAGAAGAACAAGGTCTAAGAACGAGGTGGAATCATTCAAGATGGAACGGGGTGTCTAAATTCCGTGATCCCAGGAACCGCTGTGGGGTTGCGACTCCAAGAGCAGGGCCTTGGCTCGTGCCCACTCTCCTGTCCAGCCCAAGCCGAGGAGCCCGGGGTTCCCGGGAGCAGCTCCAGGCTCCTCCCTCACAGGGACTGCCTGGGTCCCTGTTCAAATGGGCACCTCGCTGTCCCAAAGTGATGGGCCAAGTCCGCCTCATCCCTGTGTTTCCAAAGAGTCTAAACTGCTGGGCGCGGTGCTGCACGCCTGTCATCCCAGCACTTAGGAGGCTGAGACAGGAGGGTTGCAGTGAGATGGAGGCCAGCCTGGGCTACATAGTGAGACCCTGCCTGAAACAAACAAACAAATAAATAAAACCAAAGAATCTATACGCAAAAAGCCAGAGGAGCATCAGGTCCCCCTCTTGTAAACCCCTCATTTCCCTTCATCTTGTGGTTTGCTGCTATTCTTTCCTCTGTAGTTTGATATAAAGTGGTATCTAAGTTAAAATTGCAAATCTGTCTTACGATGCCGTGCTCCTCGGGGGAAGTTGTGAGACTTCAAAATCTTGGAAGCGAAAGAAAGAAAAGGAACCGAGGTGCTGATTTATTTTGGGAACAGTCAGCTCCCAGCTGCCTGCGCTCATGAAGTTCACGGCTAAATGTGAGTGGGAGCTTGGAGCTGCGGTGACTCACAGAACAGAGCCTGGAGCTCGTGCCTGAGGAGGGGATAGCAGGGAGCAGCGTCCGAAATAAACAAAATAAATAAATAATAACCACTTCCAGCCTGAGACTCGTGGGCTGGGAGTGGTTATTGTTTATTTATTTATTTTATTTCGGTGTTTTGAGACAGGGTCTTGCTATGTAGCCTAAGCTGACTTCCAACTCTGGGTGACCCTTCTGCCTCAGCCTCCTGAGTGCTAAGATTACAGGTGTGTGCCACCAGGCCCAGCTGGAGAGTAAAGTCCCTGTGGCAGCTGCCAAAGAAAGGTCCTGTCACAGTGCCCCAGGAAAGCTGAAGCTGGTCCTGAGTTTATTGTTCTTTTTTTTTTTTTTTTTTTTGTGGAACAAGGAATTGAACCCACAACCTTCGCCCTGAGCTATGTCCCCGGCCCTTTTCTTATTTTTTATTTCGAAACAAGATCTCTCTGAGCCACTACAGTGGGGTACTCTATCCCAGGGACAGCAAAGTGACCAAGGAGGGTCCTGCCACGGAGCAGAAACAGAAGGCATGAAGGAACGGCCTCTGTACTTCCTACAGGACTGGACTCCTGTCGGTGTCAGTCAGGATCTTGACACATTAAGCCACAAACATCAGCTCCTGGCAAGGAAGTGCCTTGTGTTGGGAACACATCAGGTGCATCCCACCAAGGAGATCCCCACATGAAATATTCCTGACTCCTGGGCAGCCTCAGGCACCCTTCCCTTCATACCCTTCCGCCTGGGTGGTCCTGAGCATATTCTTATGGGTCAGATCACAAGCTGGTCCGTCTTGATGGTCACTTGATAGGGTTCAGAGACACCTGGCGTGGTGGGGGGATTGAGAGGGCAAACACTGCGCATGGATTAACCTGAGGCTGGGTTCACAGCTGGATGGGCTATGAGGTGGCAGGTCCAAGTTGGAGGAAATGCGTCGTGATTGTATGGTTTGGGGACTCTACCTGGTCTTGGGCTATTTCTGGCTCTTCCTGTTTTTTGTTTCCCAACCACTATGAGGTGCATTTCTTTGTGTCTTCATGCCCTTCCACCATGATGTGCTGCCTCAGAGCAGCTGACCGTGGACTGAACCCTGGGAAACGGTGAGACATATTAACGCTTTCCTCCTTTAAATTGGGTGTGTTGGGCAATTTATCCCAGTGGTGGGAAAGATGTTAAAAAGTGTGGCTGATACTTCCTGTGTGACCTTGAGCCAGCCTCATAACCTCCCTCTCCCCAGTTTTCTCATCAACAAAGTGGGTATGATCATGCTAGACCTGGCTGCACAGGATTCTAGCAAAGAATTCATGAACAACACATGTAAGATACTTGGACTGGGCCCAGGAAACAGAGTCCTTGCTATGACTCCTGCATATCTCTGCCCATGGGCTCCTGGAGGAAATATTCCACTGTCACTTGTGCTTTCCAGAAGGAATGAGGGGAGAGGATAGAAAGGAGCTATCAAATCAGTGCCTCAGATGTATAGCTGGCCTAGAGCTACGAGGCCCATCTTGAAACAAATGTGGACATCAGAAACAGTGACAGCTGCTGGCTTCCCCCTGGGCCTTGGTTCATAGGCTGCTGCAGGACACTTGGGACTGGACCCAGGTATTGCTGGAACCTGGAACTGGTGGCCCAATGGCTGTGGGATGCAGAAAGCCCGTGAGCTTTGGGGCCCGCTCCCCACTTTGGTGCTGTGTGGATGGGGCCGTGAGGGAAGCTAACCCTGCTGCGGTTTCTCCTGGGGCACAGCAGCTCCCCCACAGGGCCCAAAGATCACACTGATGGGCACGAGCAAGTATCTCAGAATCGGAGAGCAGAGTGAGCCTTATGAGTGTTCCCTCCCACCATTCTCTATACTCTGTTCACTCTTTGAAACTAGAGGATTTGTTAAAGGTTCATGAAACTTAGGAGGTGCAATGTAGATTAATTCTTCAATCAGGGACTCAGTTCCAAGACCTGGGTGAAAGGCACAGTATGTGGGTGACAGCTGATGCCCTGTGACCTGGAAACTTGGGACGATTTGACCTCAACTGTGACCCTGGGGTACCAGGCCCACAGCAGCCAGGAGCAGAAGCTTCCACCCAAACGCAGAGCGGTGCAATCTATCTACCAGCGCCAGAACTGAGAACTAACAGAGAATTGCCCACGTTTGGTTTGTTTGCCCAGACCTGAAAATAAACTGGTCTCCATGGAGCGAGGATCTCATAAATAAACGTTTTGGAACCCTGCTTCGCCTGCTGTCGAAGGCTTGGAGACGCCTTATAAGAAGCATGCTCAAGATGATTTAAAAGTAATCAAATAGAAGCCTGAGCGACGGTTTTGTATTATTTTCTCGAGAATCAGGGAATACCAGATGGCTGTAGGAACAACGGATTCTGTAACTATCCTCTTATTTTTGTAGACAATAAATCAAATTACTAGCACCCATGAATATTTTGGCTCAAAAGCAGTAGCTTCCTTGCAGTAATTAACCCTGGAGGGCTGGCACGGAGATGGAGGAATCAGTGGAACAGACAGAGAATCCAGGTGCCGGCCTATGTGCTACCTATTAGGATCTGATAAAGATGATATTTCGAGTCGCTGGGGAAAAGACAGATGAATCAACAGATGTTACTGTCGGGAGGGGGAACGCGGTTAGAAAAAGCTGACGTGGGCCCCACACAGCAATCTGGGTGCGTTAAATATCTAAACATATGCCATGGAGTCTGCAAGGAGCTATAATGATCTTTTTAAAAGAAAAGAAGCCAAAACACCCGTGAGGGGCTCAAATGGAGGCGTCTCTCCCATTTCTGAGCTGTGAGTCTGGAAGCCAGGAGGAGGGACCTCTCGATCAGGACAAAACATTGCATTCTTACCCCACCCACCCCCGCTGACCAAACAGCGCCCAGGAGTGGAGAACTGGACGCCCGAGGCCTCGGACAGCACCCCAGGCCCACCCATCCCTACAGAGCTGATTTCCCTTCCTTCTCTGCACCCTTCCTGTGTGTTCTTCCTTTCTTCCCAGTGAAAGGAAGCAGAAGAAAACAGGACAAAACCGTTTGGACCAAAGTGAGAAAGCATCTCTCACGGGCCTGTCGGACTGAGGCTGCTGGTCAACGCTAGTGAGAGGGAAAGAAAGGAAACCTACAAACTGCAAAGGCCGCGGGCAGGAGGCTGCTACACAGGAAGATGAGGGAGAAATCAAACTGCTAGGGAAGCAGAAGCAATGGAAAACTAATCAACGCCTAAGACACACACCCAAGGGAGAACAAAGATTCAAACGAGGAGGTCTGGGCAGCAAACAGTGAATGCATGAATTTTTAAAATGAGGTGCAGTTGAAGACACATGAAACACCTTCTAAACTTTCCTGACTTGGAGCACACTCGTCCCACCGTCCTGGCCGCTTCCTGCAACAGCTCTGGAGTCCTCTCTCCGGAGGGTCTTCAGCTGCACTGTCCTGGCTCCTCAGATTTCCTTTTCATGGTCACTGTGACTTTTCACAAGAGCTGGAAGCTGCATGGTGTCAGATCTGGTGGATGAGGACTCAATGTCATGTTTTTCCTACTATAAATGTTTAGAATCTATTCAGGGCATTGAGGCACAAAAAGACCCTCAGGAAGGAGGACACCAGAGCCGCTGCAGGAAGCGGCAAGGATGATGGGGTGACTGTGCCTGAAGCAAGGGGAATATTTTGAGCAGAATTCATGTCAATGTGTCTTTTCCTGTAATGCACTGATTTTATTTTTAGCAAACATTGACTACGTTTTCTTTATCGCAACCCGTAGAACAAAAAGGATGAGTTTCAAAAGGAAATTTGCCTGCATGAATGAGCAAGCCTTTTACGGCCCAAGTGCTTCAGATCCACACACAAGGATGTCTGCATGGCCCTGATTGCTGCCAAGGTCCTTCACAGAGGAGGAGAGCAGGTCTGGGGACAGTCAGGAGACTTTTCCACAGTCACGCAGTGGCACTTGGAGGTGGGACACAGACCCGGGCCCCTTCTATCGCTGACAGCCCAAAAGCAAGGAGAAGAATGAAGCCTGGAATTAAAGGGCAGACAAGGCCTGAGGACCCCGGGGAGACTCTGTGTCTGGGTCTCAGTCCTGCAGGTGTCTGTATCACTGGACCACTGCTCCATGCCGGCCGCTCCTCAGCAGCTCCATTGTCCACCCATGGCAATCCGTGAGCCTTAATTTCCTCTTTTGCTTTCTGGAACCTGAGGTCAAATTGGAGGTCAGGGAGGGTCTTCCGTCACTGCCTGGAAACTAAGACAACCCTAAGCCACAGTCCACAGAGGGCAGGATGGCCTGCTCTCCGCTGAGGTTGGCAAGGGATGACCCGTCCCTGGTCCCCTCATCCTGTGCTGGACTTGTGCCCTTGGCAGGTGACTGGATGGGGTGCCATGCTCATCAGAGGACCCAGCATGGATGAGTGCAAGGTCAAAAGTGCTGCAGGACGCAGGGCCTGGTTGGAGGAGGTCACTGGGGTCTGACCTGGAAGGGTGCGTTCTTGTCCCCAGCTCCTCCCTTTTCTTTCTGCTTCCTGGCCACCATGAGGTGAGCAGCTTTCTTGGCCAGGCCCTGGCACCATAATGTTCCTGCCTCAGAGTGTCCAACCATGGACCGAACCCTGTGCAACCGTGAGCCAGGTCAGTCTCTTCCTCTGTGAAGATGTTGGGCATTTCGTCCTGGTGATGGGAGCATGGCTGGGCTGCCTTTTGATAGAAATACACTGCTTACCCATGGCTTTTCTTCTGGCCACCCAGCTACACGTCCCCATCTCCGACATGCTGTGACACCATGGACACTCAAATGGAACACCCTAACATGCTCTGCGACCCCAGTGCTGAGGCTTCTGTGCTCCTTGTGACCCTCGCCGACAGCCTGGTGTCTGGAAAGCTCCAAGCCTATTGTCCTGTGCCTGCCAGCCCTCTGAGGCCAGCGCCCAGCTTAGAGTCCATTGGTACCACTTCTGTGACCCTGTGGCCAGAAAGGACAGCAGCAGGACAGGCACATGGCAGTGAAGACCCTGGTTTGCTTCCATCAGCAAACACCCCGGGCGCCAAGGAGCAGGCGGAGACAGCCTGGAGCTGCCGATGCTCTCCAGGCTTTCACAGCCTGGAGGAGAAAGAAGTGGAGGTGCAGGAGGGTCGAGGGGCAGCACAGGGGCGACAAGGGGGACAGGGCAACAGGGGCCAGCAGCTGCTCCTCCCCCAGCCTGCAGTCAGAGGAAGGCTTCTTACTTTAACCCGCAGCTGAGCAGAGCCGGCCATCAGCCCAGCCCCACAATCTGCCATGTGGCCAGCACTTGCTGTGATCCAGGTGCCTTCCTGGCCGCCCACACCACACCCACGATGCTGGTGACAGAGAGAAAGTGACTCAGAGCCTTGGCTGCTTTGCACAGAGCTTCTGAGAGGCGTCAGCTGATGGCGGGGAATCACTTGAGCCAGCGTGGTGGGACCCACCAGTCAGTGTCACCTAGAACTGGAGCCAAGGGACATCAGACCCCATACTCACCCTGTCCCTGAGCTGACTGCAGAGATGATTCTAGAACTGACCACGGGAGCCAGGTGTGGAGCTGCACGCCTGTCATCCTGGTACCTGGGAGGCTGAGGCAGGAACTCACTGTGTAATTCAGGCTAGTCTTAAACTCACTGTGTAGCCTAGGTTGCTGTTGAACTTGCGGAGATCCTCCTGTCTCAGCCTCCCAAGTGCTGAGATGACAGATACAAGCTACCCACCTGGCTATAATTAATTAATTCTAAGCACCAAAACCAATCACGTTTACATGACCATCGTACAAATATCTTCTACAAATTAATATGCTCTGCCCCAGTGAGCTTTTAGATTTTTTCCGGTGATTTTTAAAATGCGCTCAGTATCCCTGTGGTCTCTCCTGTATTTCCTGTGCTTGTGTTTTAGAGTTAGCTTTAGGGTAGATTTGTTGAGACTGTGCAACTTCAGCTTCATTAAGCAGTTCAATTCTTTTTCCAAAAGAACCTCAGTGCTCGGCGGCTGAGGCAGGAGGATCTCTGAAAGTTTGAGGCCAGCCAGAAATACGTAGTGAGACCCTGTATAAAAAACCAAACCAAAGCAAACCAAACTGGTGATATTCTTTCAGCCTCCATCAGCCATGTGAATGAGCTGCTACACATCTTATGAAACCATCTCACCAGACTTCAATTTTTTGTTAGCAAGTGACGGGTATCAAACGGTACCCTCCAGTGACCTGAGCTGCTATCCATCATTCACTGACACCCACTTTGCCGCCACACATTAATTAGTTCAGTGCGTCTTCTGAGACACACTGGAGTGTTCTTTGTTCTTCTGTATTTTTAAAACTTGGGTAGTTTTTGCTTTGGTCTCCTTAGAAATTGACCTCTGTATTCCAGGTACTTTGTGAGTCACGTGACCTCTGTGTTCCAGGTACTTTGTGAGTCACGTGACTTCTGCATTCCAGATACTTTGTGAGTCACGTGACCTCTGTATTCCAGGTACTTTGTGAGTCACGTGTTGTGAGCACCTTCTGTGAATCTATGCCACAGCCTAGCGCTTGCAGCTGGGCCCGGGAGAGCGGCCTTGCTGCAGTGCTGCTGACCGGGTCGCCGTCCTGCAATCCTGGAGGGAGGAGAGACCAGGAAGCAGGCCCAGGCGTGCTGTCTAAGCTTCCATGTTAGCATGTAAACTCCCACGGGGCACACTGAGTTTGCTGGGAGAGGAAGTAAAGATCCGATCTCAGAGCTCACCGCTGTCAGTCATCCAGCCAGGCGGGATCAACAGTCATCTCTGACAGTAAGCCCTATCACTATCCATCGGCCGTCCCTGTCCCTCAACCGTGGCCAGCCCTGACCGCACCCCCCTCCCCGCTCCGGGGTCTCTTTCCCATATGCATTCTGGAATCCTCTTGTTGAGTTCAGTGAAAAATTTTGCGGGGGTTTCAAAATTAGGATTATGCTCAGAAGGCTGAGGCAGGAGAATTGCCGTAAATTTGAGGCCAGCCTAGGTTACACAGAGTTCCAGACCAGCCTGGATTACACAGCAGAAACAAAACAAAACACAAGAGTACAACAAACCCATGCACCATTTTTGAGAGAATTAATCAGGTCAGGAGATCGAAACTTTCTCTCCATGAGCAGGGCACAGCTCCAGGTCTCCTAAACAATAGATTTTATTGTTCCCTACTGTTTATTTCTAGGTTACCATGTTCATTTTTGCGTGGTTTTTTTTTTTTTTTTTTGGTAGTGATCATAAATGGTATTCATTTCAATTGATATTTTAGAACTTTTGGATGCATACTTGGCACAGAGAAATGTAATTCTTTAGTTTAAAAAAATCTAGTATCTTAGCAGCCTTATTAATTCTAATGGCTGCTTTATCTCTTGGTTCCACATAGTGTCATGGCATTTGCCAAAGACAGACAGACAGACAGACAGACAGAGAGGGAGGGAGAGACAGAGAGTGAGGGACGGAGAAGGAGAGAGGAAGGGAGAATGAACTGCACTCCGGAGCTGTTTTTCCCCGTTTTCCACACTTCCCCTCCATTCTCTCGGCTGGCTGAAACCCTGTGTGTTAATTCCTTACACTGTGAGAGTGAAATCCTTCGCCTTCCGCTGGGTTTTAACAGTAATTAACGTAATGTCTCACACCATTAAGTAATATGAGACCTATAGGTTTTCTTTCTTAAGGATCTTTATTACAGTAAAAAGATTTTATTGTGTGCTGAATTTCTTTTCCTTTTTAAAAAAATTTTAAGTAGGTGTTATATTTTATCCTACGCTTTAGAACATCTGTGAAATCACTGGATTCTTTTTCTGTGCTAATGTGCTTAGTCATATTAGCAGAACTTCTCCTTGGGCAGGAGAAATTAAAGGCTTTTTTAAAATTTTGTTTTTGTTTTTTGGGACAGTGTCTGTCTGGGCAGTTCCGGCCAGCCTTGAACTCACTGTGCAGCCAGGGCTGGACTTGGATCCTCCTGCCTCAGCCTCCTGAGTGCTGGGATCACAGGTGTGCGCCACCAGGCCCAGTTTAAATGCTTTTTAAAAAATTTAAGATCTACTTTGTAACCAACACTCTTCTGCTGAAACCTGTGGCTTCCCAGCCCAGGAAGAGGACAGCGATGGCCCCAGGAATCTGGGGGTCCTGGGCTGCAACTCAGAGAAACAGTGCGTCTCTGCCGAGTGCCTGCAGGACTTCTATGAGCCCACACCCTCGGCCCATCATTTTAAGCCAAAGCTCAGTCCTGTGGGAACCATGGTATCAGGCAGGGAGCCCTCAGAGACAGAATCACAGGTCTACCTGTCCTCTGTCCATCCCCTTACTTTCTCAGCGGCAACTCAGTTTTTCCTGACCAGCCACAGCATGAATAGCTTACTGAAAAATGTTTGTTGAATGACCGAATGAGTGAATTCACATTAGCTCTGTGCTCAGACTGCAGGTACAGAACTTTAAGAATACAGAGGAACCCTTTTTTTCCTCCATCATTTGAAAATCAAGCTTGGGAGTATTTTTAACCATGAAAACGTGATTTTCTTCTGCCTGGCCCACAGTGCTGCCTGCCCCCAGCTCAGCTGGCCCCACCATGGGTCCTCACAGACCCCTCTACCCCTAGTGCCATAAGCCCCAGTGTGACCGATGCCACTGGCAGAGCAGTGCCCTCCCCCATCTCCAGGATCAGAAGCTGTTTTTCAGGCCGAGGAAAACTCTTTCAAATATCAAATGCTTCCCTACCAGACTCACAAAATAAAGGCAACGACTCCAAGCAGCTCAGATGTGATGAGAGGCTGTAAAAATCACACCAGGAAATTTCCAGGGCTTGGTTCACACCAACTAGGTGCACAGAGAACTTCTGCAAAAGCTCATTATAATGTAAATTTAGCTGAGCACAGTGGTGAATACCTGGAGTACCATCCTTCAGGAGGCTGAGGCAAGAGGATTTCTGTGCCTTTAAGGCCAGCCTGGGCTTCACAGCAAGTTCAAGGTCAGCCTGAACTACAAAAGGAGACCCTGTCTCAAACAAGCAAGCAGAAAACAAACAAACAAACAAACGTAAATGTAGACTTGAAGCACCCTGGATCTTTGGAAATCACCCCAGTTCCAAGTATAAGGAACTCTCCTGGCAGATGCTGTCAGAGTTTGTGTTTCTCATTTCTCCTCCTGCACCCACCAACTCTGGCTTGCAGGCAGGCCATGCACTCCTGGAGGTCCCTGCCTGCTGCCCTGTGCCAGCGTGTGGGCCGCCTAACTGAGATTCAGCCTGACCAGCTGCGGGGCTGTTTTGCCGTATAATATAAGAACATGATTATAATACAGCAGACTGAAAGGTATTTCATGGTGCAGATTTTGGAAAGCAATTAGACATCTCCAAACAAGTTTCTGCTGAATTCCACTGACCTTGACGGTGTCTGCAGCCCAGCTGGGCACCTCTGAGGAGCACTGAGTCAGAGGCATCTTCTGCACCTTAGGGCACCACCCAGTGGCCAAGGACACCTGTACCCATGCCCTTCACCTCGTGCTGGAGTGCTTCAGTGTTATGATAATCAACTCCTTTGTTTCCATAAATCTGTTCAAGACTAGCCTGCCTGTCAGTATAGGACTCAGTGCAGGTAACCAATTCTGTAATATTCTGTCTCTTGCTCTGTACCTCTCCCTTCTAAATGCTATCCAAACTGAGCTCTGCAAACTCAGTGCTGTTGCCTTTGGGAATTATCCTGCTGTAACAGTTCGCTGGGTGAAGATGGAGCCGTCCTGTCCTACGGTGTAAGGATTAAACACTGCTGCTGCCTTCTCGTCTCCTTTGAGTCTCACTTGGGGATTTTCCTGCCACATTTCCCCACAAGTCCTGGTGCCTGGGCTCCATCCTGAGCCCACCCCGGACAATGCCGAATCGAGGCTCTAGGTGTCTGCACCACAGAGAGGAGACAAGATCCCCCCTGCCCCCCTGTACTCCAGGTGGCCGTTTCCATCTGGATTCGCCCTTGCCAACCTGTTTGCTAGACCCACAGGTTACAGGGCTGCTGAGGCACAAGGGCTTGATGAACAGTAACTAAGCCTTCAAAACTCAACCACCTCTCAGCTGGGTGTGGTGATGCACACCTGTAACCCCAGCACTGTGGGAGGCTGAGGCAGAAGGATTTCAAGTTTAAACCCAGCCTGGGCAACTTAGTTAGCCAGATACTAGTTTAAAAATAAAAAATAAAGGGCTCGGGACGCAACTTACTGTGAAGGCCCCGGGTTCCATCCCCCAGGGGTGGGGAGAAAAGCAAGCAAGCAACCCAGCTTTGCCCTCCCGATGTGCCCCCCCTCTTCTGGGGGAACAACTGCCTCCACCACAAATCTGAGCATTTAGCAGGAAACTGTCAAGGAGGATCCAGTTAAATTAGCATAAACGCAAATTAGCAATTACCAGCTGTCAAGTCACAGCAGAGGCCCAGGAATTTCGACAACTATCAAGACATCATTTAAAAATATTTAATTCCACTCATCCCATTCCAACTGGGGATGGATTGCATCTGCTCGGAGGGTGCGCTCTTGAGGGGGGAAACTGAAGATGCCAGAAGGCACTTAATTTCCGCCCACCTGATGCCCCAATCACGAGCTGTGTAGACGGGGAGGGGCGTGTTCCTGCGCACCCGTTCCCTGACAGCCTGCTCAGTCACCTGAAGAAGCCACAGGGCTTCTCACTGTGCGACTTGGACAGCCTGCACCACGTGTGTGAGATGTGCTTGGAATTACAGAGCATTTTTCTAGCTCTCAAGAGACAGTAGGCATTTTAATTAAACAGATGAAATTTAAAATCCATCACTTAAACTTTGCAGAGAATTAATCACTTCAGCCTTCCTAGCATTTTGCTTCAAATGTCTCAAGATCTTAAACTTCTGAAAGAGGACTCCAGAAACAAGCAGGACAAGCAATGACGAGCAGCCTGTACTCTAAGGAAGAGGAGATTGCTCTCACGGGGATTCCCTGAATCCCTGAGGACACTCCCAGATCCTTCTCTTTCCCCAAAACCCTCCCCTCAATGGCCATATACAAGGACCCTTCTCTCTGGTGCCCAATCCCAGCATCCCCCTCTCTGATGCCCAATCCCAGCATCCCCCTCTCTGATGTCCAATCCCAGCATCCCCCTCTCTGGTGTCCAATCCCAGCATCCCTCTCTCTGATGCTCACTCTTTCTGGTGGTACATTTTCAGGATCCCTTTCTGATGGGCATGCTCAGAATGTCTCTGTTTGATGTGTTTCCAGAGTCCCTCTCCCTGACGTGAGTTGCCAGTCTGACCAGTGTTCCCAGCATGTGTCTTTGATTTCTCAGGACCCCTCTACCCAAGAGTATATTCCCAAGATCCCCAGGTCTTTTTCATTCTATTGTGATGCTGGGGAGTTGAGCCCAGGCCCCACACCTGTTAGGTAAGCGCTCTACCATTGGGTTACACCCCCAAACCCAAGATCTCTGTACCTCAGCATCTTCCTGCCACCCTCTCTGCCACTGTGTTCCCAGCATTCCTATGTCTGATGGGCATTTCTAGGACATCTTTCTTATGAGTTCTCCCAGGATTCCTCTCTCTCTGATGTTATTTTCCAAGATCCCTCCTTCTCTGATGTTGTTTTCCATGATCCCTCCTCTGATGTTATTTCTCATGGTTCTTTTTAATGTCACTTTTCAGGAGTCCGCTTGCTGTAATTCCATGTTCCCAGGATCCCTCTTTGTGATGTCATTGCCTAGGATTCCTTTCTCTCTGATGTCACTTCCCAGGACCCCTCCCTCTGTTTTTCTGTCATCAGGAGGCTTCCCCCAGTCCTACCGTGACATTGCCAGCCTCACATGTGTACCGGCCTCTTCTGTTCCCCACCACGAGTAACAGGCACTCACTCTGCCTCTCAGGCCGAGCAGCCTCCAAGCGATGGCAAAACCTGTGCATGCCCCAGAGAGCCCTGAGAATGCGCCGGAGCTGGTGCCGCAGGAGCGCAGAGGCTGCAGGAGGCTTGAGATCTAATGCCACAGCCTCTGCCACCTCCCAGCCGCAGTGCTCCAAGTCCCAGGGGACAGTGAGCTGGCACTGTTGTCCCCATTTTGCAGCTAGAGAAACTGAGGACCGGGATGCCTGACACTGACTTTGGGAGTAAAGCCCAAAGGTGAAAACAGCAGCTGCTGCAGGGCTGCCCTGAAACCAAAGACCAAGCTTTACACTGCGACCTGAGGAAGCTGCAGAAGGTGGCTGCTAGGGGCACCGACAAGGGGCGGCTGGAGGGACCGGGCCACAGAGCTGTCCCTTGTCCTGACTGCGAGGTGGAGAAGGGACTGCAGGTCAGAATTTATTTCCTCTTACCAGTTTTTTTAAAATGTGAAGTATTTATTTATTTGCTTATTGTAGTGCTGAGCATTAAACTGAGGCCTTCATACTGAGCTACCCAGCCTTTTATTTTTTAATTCTGAGACAAGGTCTTGCTAATTTGCCCATCTGAGCTCGAACTTGTGATCCTCCTGCCTCAGCCTCCCAGAGTGCTGGGATCACAAATATGTACTAACGTGCCCCGCTATAAACTGTACCTTAAAGTTTTGGTGCATGCCATGAACTTCAACAAAAAGTAAAAATGATAATAAAAGTAAAAGCGATTCTAATGTTCAAGGAATGCTCAGAAATTCACTTTTGTACACAGGGGCCCTCACTGTCATGGTCTGAACCTAAAATGTGCCCTCCAGTCTCATGGGTGTGGAGGGAATTGCACTACAGGGCTCTGCGTGCCTCAGTGGATCCACCGAGGATGAGGTCAGGGCTGACTGCTGCAGGCGGTGGCGCCTGGCTGGAGGAGGTCGCTGGGGTGTGGCTGGGAAGGGTCTTCTCCCTCCTCAGCGCCTCCCCTCTCCTCTGCTTCCTGGCCACCATGGCATGCGCCAGGCCCTCCGCCACCATGCTCCTGCCTTGGAGCAGCTGACCATGGGCTGCACCCTGACCTCCATTAAAGTCTCTTTCTGTTCTCTGCAGGCTCCATTGTCCCTGCGATGGGAGAGTGACTGAGAATCAGACTTTATGATTTCTCAACCAGGAAGCGAAGGACACAGAACTGTGCCCTCCCTCACCCTCTCCAGACATGGAACCCCACACGCTACCCACCCGCAGAGGACCGACTCCCCCATGCTGAGCTCTGCGGGTGCCTGGCTCCTCCTGCCTGTCCCCACGCCCAGGCACAAAGCCTCCTGGCCCAGCCCCAGCATCACCCTCACTGGCAAACAAGAGCCTGGCGTTTGTACAATGCTTTTGTTGAAGCCAGAGTGCTGACCACAGATGGAAGAAGTGTGGGTTTCACACAGACCAGCCCCGAGTCCACGGATGCACACTCGGGAGGTCAGACCCATGGCCTGGCCGGGCAACAAAGTTCCTATGGGAAAATGAGCCCATGTTCCGGTGGTCAGAGTCCCACAGAATCCCTCCAAGGCTCTGTTTATTGTTTAAAAGCGCATCCACTTGGCATTCTGTGCGGGCCGCTGAGGTGTGGGCTGAGGGATCCCCACAGAGCACACAGGCGGCCCTTTGACAGACCCCACCACTAATCAACTGTGCAAATGTTGTATTGCAAACTTGGACAGACTCAGGTAGGGCCAGCTCCATGCCAGGTGACAGTACCATGCTCCGAGCTCTGTGCACAGTGACCTGCGCCCTGGAAGATGGGGGGGGGTAAAGGGTTGGGGCAGCAGGATGGGGGCAGAGCTGCCCACAGCATGTGCAAATGTCCCGAGGCAGAGAAAAAAGCAGTCAGCGTGGCCCAGTGGGCAGACAGCAAGGGGAGGCCAGTGGCAGGGATGAGAAGAAGGAGTTGGTGGGAGCTACCAAACCCTTTTCTCCTTTCAGAAAACCAAGAGTCAGCTGCAGATTCTGTCCGAGTCTCATTTTGATCAGTTCACTAACCACGTAGTTGACCCTTAAAGCACTTGTGTCAGACATTAGTGACTCCGGTCTGCTGCCAAAGGACTTAGCGTCCTGGGAAATACAGCTCTACCCTCAGGGCCTAGCTAGGGAAAAAGTGCACACTCACTGGGAGGCTGAGGCAGGAGAAAGGCAAATTGGAGCCTACCCTGGGGCAACTTAGTCACTTAGAGACTCTGCCACAAAATAAAAACACAGAAGAGGCCTGGGGGTGGAGCTCAGGGTTAAGATCCTGGGTTCAATCCCTGGTCTCTGCACACACACATGCTTGCACATGCATGCATGTGCAAAGGCACTGATGTACATTTGCCCAGATGGACAAATCCTCCTACCATGGCTCACGTCACATGACCACGTCGCAGAACCACTCTCAGCCTGCACACAACCCTCCAGCTCCTGCTATAAGGGGGCATTTGTGGGTGTAGACCAGGTTAGAAAACAAGATCACCGAGCCAGCCTCTCTCACTTTCACTCAGGAGACATTATACACATGAAGGTCCAGGGAGAAGAGAGAGGTGGGGGATTTCAAAAAATATTGCTTCCCATCTATTGGGGAAAATGTTGCCAGTCCCAGGAAGAAAAGCTGTGTTAGCGAATAAAACATTTCAGGACAAGGTGGATAGCACCTGGACTGGATAGTATCTTTAGAGACTCTAGTTCTTCTCACCTTCCCCTTTCAACATGCTCAGTTGATTGACCTGTTTTTAGGCTAATTTTTCTCATGCACACAAGATGGCTGCAGGTGTCTAGCCATCACACCCAGCAAACCTAACCACTGTTAGAAGTTCTCACTGGCCAGGGATCATTTTCAGAGCAAACCTACAGCGATCACCAAAAAGAAAAATGAGATCTCAGTGACTAAAATGGACCCTCCTCAAGGGGGAGACCGCTCAACAACATCAGCCAGGAGGAAGAGGGATGGATTTTCAATAAGGAACTGCCTGCCTGCGAGGTCTCAAGCACCTCTTTCTGCCCCTGTGAACCATTTCATTTTAGTCTCTTGGAGCAGGGCCTCTGAATGACAAATAGCACAGCCCTCCCAGAGACATTTTTCTGCACAAGACAATAGGTCTGCCCGGCGGGGTTGATCATAGCGGCTTTAAATTACATTTCATTTGCTTGGTGGAAAAGCCATATTCAAAACTCCCACCCTCTGCTTCCGGAAGCCTTGAGGCTCGATTCGTTCTGCCAGGAAGCACTCACTCCCACGGGCTGTCAGGGGCCAGGGAGAAGGAGGTTCCTGCTCTGCCCCTGCACCCCAGGCAGAGCAGGGCGCCCTGATAGCAGTTCTGGCTCTGTAAGAGCTGGGCCTGAGGGGTGCGGCTCTGAGACACGGAGTGGCTGCTTCCTCTCTTAGTCCTTGTTGGTGTTTTTTCATTTTAAATAATAAAGCCAGGAAGAGGGGCGGGCTTGGGTTTGGCTGCTGCTCGCTGCTCCCTGGGCTGTGGAGGTGACACCGGTGTCTGCAGGCACTGGGGGGCCAGCTTGCCACAGACCTCACACCGTCACCCCCCAGCCTGGCTTCTGTCTGGGATGGACCCTGGCGTACATTTCCGCAGCCTCAACAGGCCGGGTCTCGGCCACCACCCACTGCGCCTCTCCTGCAGACCCTGGTGTGCAGCACAGTTAAACCCTTGGCAAACATCTACAGGCGAAAACCGTCACACTAAAGGACGCCATGCCAGGAGCCCCCTAATCCCCCTTGCACACACTCGTCCCACCGTCCTGGCCACTTCCTGCAGCAGCTCTGGAGTCCTCTTTCCTGAGGGTCTTCAGCTGCACTGTCCTGGCTGCCTCCATGTCCTGAATGGACTCAAAACGTCTCCCTTTCCTGGTCACAGTGACTCTGGGGAAGAGGGAGATGTCGTGAGGTGCCTAAGGTGGATGAGGACCTGGTGTCATGTTTTTATGAGCTGCCTTTCTGTTGGGTGGCCCTCAATAGCACCCTGCACTGTATTTGTGGTCCTGTTTGATAAGGACCCCGAGGACAGAGGGCTCCAGAGCTGCTGCAGGAAGCGGCATGGAGGACAGGATGAGTGTATGAGGAGGAGGATTTCTTAGGCTGGGTCTTTTACTGTGACACATTTTTAAAATTGGAACATTTGCCCTCCTTTCAATCCTGTGTCAGCCCCGCCCTGGCACTGCTGGGCCTTTGGGGACTCCTCCCAGTCTGGGCAACCCCTCCCTGTGCCCAGCCCAGTGGTGGGCTCAGCTTTGCCCTTGGGCCTCTGCTCTCCCCCCTCTCTGGCATGCAGGACAAGGACCCCAACCCACCTGGACCCAGGCCACTGTGCCATCTGGGCCACACTCTGGGTCCCAAGGTCCAGAGTGCTCCCCAGAATGAGCTTCTGGGACCCACCTTCTGGGGGGTGCAAACGCATGCACCCCTATCCCAGGGGGCCCCTGGAGGCACTGTGGGGCTGCAGGGGCCTTGGTTCTGTAGGTCTCTCATGCTGTAGGGGGGAGAAAGGGACAGACCTGGGGACCAGACTGTCACACCTGCAGCACCCTTGCCATTCCCTTTCCACACAAACCTGGGAGCCAGGACCCTAAGCCCATGCCCTGCCTCCCGCTCCACCCTCAGGCCGCGGAAGGGACAGATCCAGCCAGGGGTTGGGGAGTTAGGCTGTGTCTAGCTTTGGGCCAGCGGCTTCCTGTTGTGCCTGGTACCCACGCTGAAGAAGCGACGTCTGAGTCAGGGATGCAGCCTGGAACTTGGGTTCCCAGGGAATTAGTGCAAGTCACCCCCCAGATTTCAGGGGATGGGCCTCCCCCGCGGGCTTTTCCTGGAGGTATGCAACCCCCCAGAGAGCCTCTGCCCAGAGCCGTTTGTTCATGGGTGGTAAAGTCTCTCAGAAAACAAAGTGCAGGGTGCACGCCTCCGCGCTTGGAAGGCTGAGGCAGGAGGATCGCTGTGAGTTGTAGGCCAAGCTGGACTGCATCGTAAGACCCATCTAAAAAACAGAGAGACGGAAAGGGAGCCAGGTGGGGCATCTGCTCAGGCCGGCAGAGCAGGTGCATGGTCTCGAATCTAGGGGCCCCCCTGAAAATTCTGGGCCCAAAGCCAGCAGAGGCTCCTGGCCGCCTGGGCCGGCGGTAGCTTCCCGGGAAAGCGGGCTGGCAGCTCCGGGGGTGACGCCCGCAGCGCGGCGCTGCCCCGCGGTCAGGGATTCGCTCCGTCTGTCCGTCCGCGCCGCGCATCCGAGCTTCTCGGCCGGGAGCGCACGCGGAGCGGCGGCTAACCCTGCGCTCAGCCCTGGAAGCGGTTCCGCGGCTCCCCGCGGCAGAGCGCAGACGCGGGCGGGCCGGGCGCTTCTTTTCCGCGGCCTCCCGGGAAGCCAGGCACCCGGCCCGGCCCGGGGCACCTCAGGGCGCCCGCCTGCCTCCTGCTCGCCTCCGAGCCGGTTTCCTTCTTCGGTCCCCTTGATTTCTAGAGACCCCGACTTCCTGACGTGCCTTGAGCAGACAAAGAATCGCTGTCACTAAATTCAGCTCTCACCCTAAACCATGGTGGCCAGCCACATGGTGAGACCCCACAGCCAGGCCCAGGGGAGCAAAAGCTGTTTGTCTGTTTTTTTCTTTTTGTATTTTTGAGACAGGGTCTTGCTGTGCGGTTCAGGCTGGCCTTGAGCTGACTGCGTAGCCCCGGCTGGTCTCGAACTCACAAAGATCCTCCTGCCTCAGCCTCCCGAATGCTGGGATTACAGATGTGCACCAACATGCCCAGCTGCAAAAGCTGTTCTGAGCAAAGGGGGACTTCGAGTCTTCCTGACCTTGGCTCTCCCTAATTCAGTGTGCCTATACAATTCACAGCTTTCATTTTTCAGGCCAACTTACAAGTCACTGGGAGTCTGGGGTCCCTGTCCTCACGGCTGCACCACCACAAACTCACTTTCACTCCCAGCACTCAGGAGGCAGAGACAGGAGGATCTCTGTGTGTTTGAGGTCAGCGAGGGCTACACAATGAATTCAAGACTAGCCTGGACTATATAGCAAGATCCTGTCTCAAAACAAAACAAAACAAAATCATCACTAAATCTAAAAGACTTGAAGTGAGAAAAATAACTGCCAAAAAACTCAATAAGCACTACCTAGATAAAATAACTATAATTCATTGGCAAAGAAATAAAATAAGCTGGAGCCAAAATATTGGCTAAAACTAATATAAACGGGTCAGGTGATTGATTATAGTAAAAGCATGCTAAATTTTTTGTATTTCAGATAGAATGGGAGAAGGACAAAAGAATCACAAGACTTCAGAAACTGGCTGAATAGATATGTTTCAATTTTAAGGACATTTACTAGAAAAATGAAAAAAAAACAGAAGCAAAATACAAGTTGTAACTTCTAAACCAACACAGAGGGGAAATGGAGTTTTTGAAGAACTGCAGGGTAAACAGTACCAAGTTAGACTGTAGAAAAATGTTAATGTGTTAAAAAATTATAATAAATAGAAATGAACCACACTTGCTTGTTGAAAGACAGAAGTTGCTGCTAGTCATGACGGTGCACATCTGTAACTCCAGCACTCGGAGGATCGCTGTGAGTTTGAGGCCAGCCAGGACTACCGTGACTTCAAGATCAGCCTGCACTACATAGCAAGACTCTGTCTCAAAAAGACACGGGAGAAGAGAGGAGAGGAGGGAGGAAAGGAGGAACGCCTCAGCCAAGGCAAAGCAGCCTGCCTGCCCCGCCCTTGCCCAAGGGTTGCTGCCCAGCCCCGTCCCCAACACCTCCCACACTCGGGGCGCACATTTAGCGCTGGCCACGTGGACCCACGTCCTAGGGGCGCACGGGAGTCCCGGTCTGCCCAGCCCACCGGCTTCTGGCTCAGATGGGAGCTGTCACAGTGGGATGGGAAGCTACAGACTGCCCCCTGCCGGCCGTGGTGTGAACTTCAGACATAGTGGGCGGCTCCCACAGGGGCACAGTTAACAAGAGGAAGGCGCGCTAACCCACGCCTGTCACCCCAGCATTCGGCAGGCTGAGGCAGGCGGATCGCTGTGCATTCAAGGACAGCTCGGGCTACACGGTGAGGTCAAAGCCTGCATGAACTCACCGAGGCCCTGTCTCAAAAAACCAAACCAAACAAATCGAGGCTCACTGCGATCAGAGACCTGCATGGTGGTCCTGGCTGCCGCGAGGCCTGCACGGTCCACTCCTGGGTGCCCAGAGTCCTGTGCAGCAGGGCCAGTGCCAGCTCCAGTGCCAGGGGGCCGTCAGGCGCAGGCATGCACGGTCAGGGTGCGGTGGGGGCAGCGAACCCAGCCCGGTCCTCACCGCTGCCTTCCCAAGGGCTGACAGCCAGGGACCGGGAGCCGTGGGCAGCGTCTTTGGTTGCTCAGTTTCCTCACCTGTACTGTGGGGTGGGAAGCGGGAAGGCCTGCCTCGGTGGTCACAGGTTTGAGATTAGTGTGGGTAACTTAGAGAGAATCCCATTGACTTTGCTTTTCCCTGAGAGTGGCAGATGTCATGTCACAGGACCCACGCACACCCTGTTCCCAGCGGCACAGCTGGGTCTTGGAGGCGGCCCGTGTCCACCAACAGTTGGGTGGACGAGGCCCGCGTGGCACTCACACGCTGCGGAGCACTACTCGGCCGTGAAGAAGGATGGGCTGAGTCCGTGGACGCGCCTGGGCCGGAAGGCTGAGAGACGTGGGTCACACAAGCTCGACTCCCATGCGCTTTCCCTTCCACGGGAAACCCGGGGTATAAAGAGGAAAATAAGAGCTGAGAGAACTCAAGGGCGGACCTTTCCTGAGGCATCCGCGCTCCGGCGCCCCAACCGCAGCGCGGCCAGCAGGGGCAGCACAGAGGCCGGCCGCAGACGGCGCCGCCCACCGCAGGCCCGCGTTCCCAGGGCGACCATCAACACAGCGGCCGAGCTCGGGGACCGGGGCCCCACAGGCCCGCAGCATGGGAGGCCGCCCCGCTTCTGGGCTCCCGCGAACCACATCGGCCGGATCCCGGCTGCGCCCCGCCAAGCCACCTGCCTCAGTTTCCCCGGTGGCGCGGGGGTCCCCGCGGGCGGCCCTGGGCGCGCAGGAGGATGAGCTGTGGAGAGAGATGGTGGAGGCCGAGGGGCGCGGGCGGCGGCGCTGGTGAGTGCTCCCCCAAACCGCTGCGACTTGGGGTCCGAAGGCCCGGGGACAGAGCAGGGAGGCGACGCGGGACTAAGCGGTCTCTTGCTAAATTGTCCCGGATAGGCTCAAACTTTCAACCTTCCTGCCTCGGCCTTCCAGAGTGCTGGAATGACAGGCGCAGGTCACTATGTTTGGCTAAAAAATAAATCGATTCCAACAGAAAATAAACTACCGGCCTGGCCTGTGCTCCTCTGCACCCTCCTGCCCTGCCTGTGCCCTGTGCCCAGGCCTGGGGACATTACCAAGGCTGGGGCTTGGAAAGCGGGCTTTCTTCCCAAAGTCCTGGCACTCGGCCTCTGGAGGGCTCCCAGCCATCGGCCTCGGTCCAGGATGATGATTCGGCGCTAAATGGCTTGGGCTCGGCTTTGCTTGCACCGTGACACGGGCTCTTCCTGTGCAGTGAGAGTCCCTCTTCAAAGGGCCTGGGAGCCGGGCACAGGGCACACACCTGGCTGAGGCTGGAGGGTCCCAAGCGGAGCCCGCCTTGGGCAGCTCAGTCACTTAGCGAGGTCTTGGGTTCCGTCCCCAGCACGCAAAATAAAAAATGAAAGGAAGGGAGGGTTCGCAGTCACGTGGCCCACGGGCTTTCCTTTCCAGGGCTGAGAACTGGGCTTTCCTGAAAGACTACGACCCCATGGTAAGGCAGGTGTTGTCTCCCAGCATGAATTTATCCGCCCTCTCCTTCCCTTGATGGCTGGGTGGTAGATGGATGGATAAATGGTTTGTTTTAAGCAACTCAGAGTTGGGAGGGAAAGAAAATATTTATGCAGAATACAGTAAAATTTCCACTGTGTTTGTTGTGGAATTAAGATGGAGCAGCTGGGAACGGTCGGCACTTGCTGCTGGAATGTTTCTCTGGCGTGCAGGGCCCCTGCCAGACCATAGGAGAAAACCAGCCTGGGTAAAAAGTCACCGGAAGCGAATTCCTTGCGTCTGATGGAAGCACCGCCTGGACACGGCCTGCATGGCTCCCCGCTTGGGAGCTCTCCTAAGCTACGCCAGGCGCGCTGATGCACACCTGTGATCCCAGCACCCAGGAGGCTGAGACGGGAGGGTTACCATGATTTTGAGGCCAGCCTGGGCTACATAGTGAGACCCGGTCTCCGAGAACAACAGAACAAAACCCCAAAACAAAGCCAGAGAGGCCACCTGCTGTCAGCTATGTGGTCCCTCCTGTGTCCACAAGGCTGTGACCCAGCTGCCTCCTCTTCACAGGGCAACAAGAAGGAGCCTGAGCAGCTGCCGGAGCAGGTGCCTCGCTTCTCAGACACCGTCCCCAACTGCAGCAGCCAGGTGGTGGGCAGCAGGCTAGCCACACCACTGGGCAGGGCCCTGGTGCTCATGGACTTCGCATTCACGGAGGGAGCGCACAGGAAGAAGCCGGGGGCTGGGCTGCAGCCCACCTAGGAGAGGGCGCCGCCTTGGCAGGTGCCAGGAACGGGGAGGGGGCTGCAGGGCACCAGTCCTAAAGCCAGGCGTGTCCTGGGGAGTCCAGCACTCGGGAGGCTGAGGCAGGAGGAGCGCTGTGAGCTTAGGGCCAGCTTGCACTACACAGTGAAAGCAGAACAGCGGCGAGAACCCTGCCGTAGCACAGCGGCTGCCATCCCCCTCTATCCCCTGCGAGACGCTCCTGAGAGGGTGGCAGTGGTGCCCTGTGCCTCAAGCTGACCTTCGGTGCCCCATCTTCAGGAGCTGGTCCCCCGAGTCCCCAAGAGCTGCTGTGCGGAGACAGCACAGAGGAGTCAGTCATGAGCCCAAGGCCACACAGCCTGGGCTTTGGACTCCAGTTCAGTGGCTTCCGGAGCCCCAGGCTGGAGCAGAGGCCCAGACCTGAGGTGGCTGAGGGCCAGATACTGACTGACTCAACCAGCTGCGCTGCCACTATAGGGGGTTCAGCTTAAAATGTCCAGCCCTCTCTCTTGCCTGTTTCTGGTGGTGCTGGGAATTGACCCCAGGGCCTTTGCATTGAGCATCCCAGCCATTTTCTCAGACAGGCTCTCTCTAAGTCACTATGTAGCCCAGGCTGTGCTAGAACTTGGGGTCCTCTTGCCTCAGTGTCCCAGAATACTGAGATAGGGGTTGGGGCTGGGTTCTTCAGGGTCGTGGCCCTGCCACTCCATTCTGGCCCCAAGCTGTGGGTATGGCGTTGGGCTGACTGGGCTGCAGCTGCAGGCTGGGAGGGTACCTGGCCTGCGACAGACCTTCTGCAACCTCTTCCAACAGGACACCTCTGCTCTGCTCTGCCCTTCGTGTTCCACTGGGGCCAGGAGATCCTCACCAAGGACCTGTGTGGGATCCGGGCTCCAGCCTCGTGTTGGTTTGAGCCAAAGGAGCGGGATGACGCCTCTAATCGCAGTCCTCCAGGAGGCTGAGGCAGGAGGGTTGCAAGTTCCAGCTCGGCCTCGAACTTTGGGAGACTCTGTCAGAATTATTGCATGCACCAGTTCAACACAAGGAATGTGAACGTTATGTACTGCACACGTGCGTTAATAAAAAACTAGAAACAGTAAAGAAAAGGGGCTGGAAATGTAAAAGGTTCAATTCGTAGTTTCCTACCCAGCCCCAAATCCCAAGGAACGGTCAGTTCCACCGAGAAGGGCAATCGTCTGCCATCTGAGTCCGCCCCAGAGACAGGGGTGGGGCGGAAGTGGGCGGGGCTAGTCTAGGGGCGGGCGGTAGGGGCGGGACGTATCGGATTCTGGCGAATAGGGTGAGCGGAGCTAATGAGAGAGGCGGCTGGACGGAGCTTGGGGCGGTCTGGGAAAAAGGGGCAGGAGCTAGTCGGGGCGGGGCCAATAGGGGCGGGACAGATCTGAGGCAGACGAATAGGCGAGCGAGGCGAGCTCGTGGGCGTGGCGAAGCTGCGTGGGCGGGGCAGGGAGCGGGGCGAAGTGCGAGCGGGAAGGCGGAAGGAGTCCGGGTAGCGGCCGCTCCCGACCGGTTCGCGATGGAGGCCGCGCTTCTGTGGTTCTGCAACTGGAGTACGCTGGCTATGTGCGCTGCGCTCAAGCTGCCACAGATCCACGCCCAGCTGGCGGCGCGCAGTGCGCGGGGCGTCAGCCTCCCGAGCTTGTTGCTGGAGCTGGCGGGGTGAGCTCCCTGGCGGCCGGGGAAAGCAGGGTCACCCTCGGGCGGGTTGGCCTCGGGGCCTCGCTTGTGGGTCGCGCCCCCCATCAGTGCTCCGAGACGTCCATCGGACAGATGGGGAAACTAAGGTCGGGCATAATCCAGACTCAGCCTTAGTAGCTACGTATTTTACTTTGAGACAGCTGCCCAAGTCTGGGGCTTGAACTTGTGTCTTCCTGCCTCTGCCTCCTGAGTGCTGGGGTCACGGGCGTGTGCCACCACACCGTGACATTTGCTCCTCTAGGCTCACCCTGACCCTAAATCCAGGGAAAAAGTTGGACGTTGATCTAAGATCCGGCTTGAGGACTCTGACAGTAAAGATACTGGGAGATGAGACAGGCCAGGCTGAGACTGCTGCAGGTGCGGCTGATTCTTCACTGGAACTGGGAACACTTATTCAGAAGAGAGCAAAACAGAAATGCAGCAGGGCTGTCACCCCCACTCTCAGAGGCTGAAGCAGGAGGATCACAAGTTCCTCCCCTAAGTTGGAGCCCAGCCTGGGCAGTTTAGCATTTAACAAGACCCAGTCACAAAATAAAAAAGAACTACGGGCTGAGCTCAGTGCAGTGCCCCTGGGTTTGCAAAGGGTGGGGACAGGGGTGGAACTGGCCATAGCGCCTACCAGGGAGGCTCCGGGGAGGGCGTGGGAGACTGGGGATGGAGTTGGCCCCGGTCCCAGAGGATGGGAACCCAAGCTTGCTGGCTGCAGGGTGAGCAGGACTGGGGAGCCCTGGCCAGCCTGGCCACTCTGCCTGCATTTCCTCAGCGCCGCTCTGCTCTGCTGGGTTAGGGCCATCTCCGCTGTCACACTGTCTGGTGGCAGCCATTAGATGCTGTGAGCCAAGCTGGCCACGCTTGATCCTAGCCCTCAGGCCCTCTCCATTACTCCCTCACCCTGGGCCAGAGAGACCAGAGGCTCCGCCCTCACCTAGCTGGCCCCTCCCTTCTGCAATCAGTGTCTGACCACTGGGCCAGGCTGGGGTGGGGGACACAGTGGGTTTCCTGCTAGCCTGGGGACCTCTGTGCCGCTGGATCTGAGTAAAGTCACTCTAAAAGCCTTGACTGAAACCTAGATAATGTGCTGCAGGGGCCCGAGCCTAAAGAATCCAGCAGTGACCCAGGACTAGCGAGCTGCGTGTCCAGCCATTTTTTTTTTTTTTTTTTTTTTTTTGTCTTTTTCGTTTTTATCGGTACCAGCGATCGAACTCACGATTGTCTGCTTGCAAGGCAGGCGCTTATGCCACTGAGTTAAATCCCCAGCCCCGTGTGCCGTGTGCAGCCATTTGAATTGTTCATATCATGTTGGCAGGACGTGATGGTTACATTCAGTACATGGCCATGATATTTTTATTATTATTATTATTTTTGTCTTTTTCGTTTTTATCGGTACCAGGGATCGAACTCACGACTGCCTGCTAGCAAGGCAGGCGCTTATGCCGCTGAGCTAAATCCCCAGCCCCTATTTTTATTATTTTTGAAACAAGGTCTCACTAAATTGTCTAGGATGGGCTCCAACTCAGGATCATCCTGCCTCAGCCTCCCAGAGTGCTAGGATGACAAATGTATGCCACCATACCCCACTGGGCTGGTAGATGACTATCTTACAGGCTTTGCACAGCACGGCACCTAGTGGCTTGTGGCTGTCCCTGATGGTGCAGGTCACTGATGGGACATTTCATCTGATTGTTCCAAGTCTTCCTCCTAGAGCCTGAGCTCCAGGACCTGGTGGAAGTGCCAGCTGTGGGGCGGGCTGACTGTGGCTGGGCTCTGTGTGCCCTTCCCTGTTCCTAGGTTCCTGGTCTTCGTCCGCTACCAGTGTTACTATGGCAGCCCAGTGCTCACCTACCTGGAGTTCCCCATCCTCATCGTGCAAGGTAGCTGCCCTGCATGCCCATTGCACCCCACATCCCTCGTTACTCTCTGGGGCTCCCTTTTGTCCTCTCATTGCAGCATTTCTTTCAGATGTTGTCCTCCTGCTCTGCGTCTTTCATTTTAATGGGGACATTAAGCGGGCTGCACCGTACCTGGCTGTGTATCCTTTAAACATCTAAGAACCCAAATGGGATTGGAGGGGCCAGGGCAGGTAGCTCAGTGGTGGAGCCCAGGGGTCAGGCCTGGTTTCCACCCCCAGCTCAGCAAAAAAAAAAAAAAAAAAAAAAAAGGCTAGGCACTGTGATGCACGCCTGTCATCCTAGCACTTGGGAGGCTGAAGCAGGAGGATCACTGGGAGTTTGAGGCCAGCCTGGGCTACATAGTGAGACCCTGTCTCAAAAATAAAAGCCAATAAGGCATTCTCCAGTTCTCTGTCACCCTTGTGGTCTGGGTTTTTCTGCAGAGGTAGGCAGATATCGGGGCTGCTAGTGCTACTCGGCTGCGTCCTTAGCCTTGGGTGAGATTCGTGTCCTCCTGGTTCGTCCTTGGGCTGCACAAGGGGGTCATCGACCTGGCCATGGTGAGTGATGAACCCCTCGGCACTTGCACGACCCCTCCTCACCCTGCCTGCCTTGGACTTTAGCTCTGAGGATGGAGCTCAGGTCCTTCACACTGAGTCTCATCCCCAGCCCTAATCCATTTGTTATTTTGAGACAGGATCTTGCTAGGTTGCTCAGGTTGGGCTTGAACTCAGGGTCCTCCTGCCTCAGCTTCCTAGAGCACTAGAATTAAGGACTTTTTTTTTACTGTGAGTGACGCTCTGCCCACACCTGCCCACTTGCTTTTCTGGCCAGCATCACACGTCCTGAAGAGGCACTCACCACTCCCTCTTCTCCATTCTTAGACTTCCCGAAGCCAAAAGAGGGGCTTGGGCCCAGCTCTGATCACCTGGCTGCCAGGTTGGGGGGTGCGCACCATGCGGATGTTGCAGGACCCGTGGTCAGTTTGGGTAGCCTGGGTTCCCTCAGATTCAGCAGCCTAGGAGCCCAGGCTGTACTTTAGGGGACAGAGGTCCAGTAACTGAGCCTTTGCTGTGGTGCGGGGGTCCCCCTTGCTTTCCATGGGCCTTGTGGGCTGGAAGAAACTTCTCCCGGTGACATTTCAGCCTTGTGCAAACGGGTGATCACTTGGCTGTTTGAAAACTTGGCTTAATAAAGCACTGTGAATAGCAAGATATGGTAGTGCACACCTGTAACCCTGGCACTCAGGAGGCCGATGCAGGAGGAATTCGAAGAGTTGTAGGCCAGCCTGGGCTACACAGGCAAGACCCTGCCTCTCGAAACTGAACAGACTGTGACTGTCTGCTGCTGTCTTTTGCTTATCTGTGAACAGAACTTGTCCACGCTGGTCAGCGTGGCCAGCAAGCTGGCCCAGCTTCAGTACCTGTGGAAGGTGCAGGACTCCGGCACAGCCAGTGCACTCACCTGGGGGCTCTCCGCCTACACCTCTGCAGGTCAGGATGCACCCTGGCTGGTGGTCTTGGCCACTTTGCCTCCCTGGGAGCCAATGAATTCCGTGTCTATGCGTTTCTGTCCCTTGGGCTTTAGCGTTCTGCAAATAGCTATTCAGCTAGAACCTGCTAATCAAGAGGGTCCATATTTACAAGGTGGAGTCAGCTGGGCACGGTAGTGTATGCACGCCTGTGATCTCAGCAGCTCTAGGGAGGCTGAGGCAGGAGGATCTCCGTGAGTTTGAGGTCAGCCTCGGCTATATAATGAGCTCAAGGCCAGCCTAAACTGCAGAGAGACCCTGTCTCAAAATATAGAAACAAAAAACACTTTTAAATTAATGGTAGCCTTTCATGAGGCCACTAGCTTGTGTGCAAATGAGATTTTTTTTTTTTTGTCTTTTTTGAGACAGGGTCTCGCTCTACAGTTCAGGCTGGCCTTGAGCTCACCAGCCCAGGCTGGTCTCGAACTCGAAATAATCCTCCCATCTCAGCCTCCCAGAGTGCTGAGATTACAGGCGTGAGCCACCATGCCCGGCTGCAAATGAGATTTTATGGTTGCTCTTTGAGGCTGCAGTGTGGGTCTTCAGGTGCTGTGAACACAGGACTACTTGGTGTTCTGACCCAGCAGGCCTTGCAGGAGCTGGCAGCACAATGCAGTATGTTAGGAGACACCAGCTAATCACCAGACTGTCTGTGGAGTAAGTTATTTATGCTGCTGATTTTCTTTTCCAGCAAGGATAGTAACAACTTTGATGACCTCTGGTGACCTGGCAGGTAAGCAAAACTTTTCTTTCCCTTTCTGCTGGGCGTGGTGCTGGCTGGGCTTCCTTGGGGCGGGAATTCTCTTAGGGTGAAACAGGTTGACTCCTCTGGCTTCCCTTAGAGATTAGAAGAAACGGCCTCTCTGTACTGCCATCAGGTGTGAGGAGCTGTGATAGGGTAACATGCCTATTGCTTTGGCAGTGAAAATGGTGGCCTCCAACTCACTGTGTGGCCCAGGCTGGCCTTGAGCTTGCAGTGATCCTCCTGCCTCAGCCTCCATGGTGTTGAGATCACAGGTGCATGGTACCATGACCTGCCAAGCCTTTTCACCTCTGACATGGAAAGCGCTCTATGAACCTGTGGAAGAGGGTTAGGATACAGACAGTCTGGTGTCCACCTGATCCAGGGAAACGTCACAGAGTATCCACAGGGCACAGACTCTGGCAGGAAACTACTTACTCGGAGACACACAGCTTCAGAGTGGAGCTGCCCCTGCTAGCCTGCCCAGAGGCTCTCACCAGGCCCAGACATAGTAATTTCTGCTGCTCTGATTCTAGGATTAAAGTCAGCCTGATCTGAAGTTCACTTAGCGCGTACAGTAAAGAGCTGGGTCTGTCTGCTCTGTGGACTTGAAGAATCCCCAGCAGGTGGGGTCAGAGCAGCACTGAGGTCACAGCAAGCTGTGCACTGTGTGCCTGGTGTCGAGCCTCACAGGGGGGGGGGGCTGTGATGTCGGCCACAGTGTCACACCTTTATCTGTGCCCTAAGGGGGCGAGGCAGGTGCAGGGACCGAGGGAGTGGAGGGCTTTCTTGGGGCATAGGGATGGAGGAAGCAGTGGGGTTTCTTGGTGACAGCCTGGCTAGTGGTGGGAAGATGGCTTCTCCAGAAACCCTGCTGTGAACTTGGGGGGAGTGGGGGACAGCAGGGCGCTGGAGGCTGGAGGTAAGGCTCTCCCTGGACTTGTGATTGCCTAGGAGGAAGTTTCCACCCGGAATATGAAGGTTTTAATGCCTGTCTACCCTTGCTTCCTTCTCTCTGCTGTAGTTCTCTCCCGCTTTGTAATCATGATGGTCTTAAACATCTGGGTGACAGTGACCGTGCTGCGCTACAGGAAGCCCGCCTCCAAGGCTGAGTGACAGCCGCATCGCTGCTGCACCTGGTCGGACTTGGGGTGACCCAGCAGAGAAAGCAGCACCCACAGCTCCTGTAAATTTCGTAGAACATGCCCGAAACTTGCAGCCAGAAGTTCCGTAGATGTGCTGTAAATGCCACTTCCTGTTGCCGCCTCCCCTTGCTGGGCTTGCAGGGCTCAGAATCACAGGGCCCACAGACCTTCCCCTTCCCTGTGGGTCTAGTTGGCTCTCGGGTGCCGCCCACCTCCTCTGCAGCCTTGGGGTGTTTCAAGTCTCCCCACAACACAGATGGAACAAAACACGGTCAGAAGCAGAGCTGTGGCCAATGGGAGGGCTCACTGTGGGGACCTGGTGGGCCAGCCAGGGAATGCAGCTGTAGGAGTCTTGCGGTCTTTGACTAATGCCTCGCAGGTTCTGAGGACCTGCACTGGGACTGCTCTTCTCTGACTGTTCTTTAGGGAACTGTTTTCATGAGAAATGTCCAGAGTGAAAGGCACTGGTGCTTCAGGCATGGTAGGAGGTTGGGGCTCCACACAGGCCGAGCGCTCCCCCAGCAGCCTTGCTCGGGCATGGAGCCACACGTGGTGCCCTCACTCGGGTTCGCTGCCAGATGGTAGGCTTCAGCTCCCAGAATACACGGGTCCCACTCTGGTCATAGCATCTTGTTCCATGCGTGATGCCATGGCTGCCAAGCACCAGCCTTGACATCTAACTCGCTTCTTCAGAGTCAATTATTTGGGCATATGCGGGAGACCAACTGGGTTAGAATGCATTTGAGTTCCCACATGAAACAACTTGTGTGGCTTGAATGCTGCTGAAACCTAAGGCTTATTTTAAATTCTGTAAGGCATATTTTCCAATAAACTGATTCTTCTGGAACTATTGCTTGGGACAAACAGAAATGCAGGTCCTAAAAATACTCATTTTATGTAGTTATTTCACTCACAGCTGTCATTTTTTAAAAAGCCAAGTTAGTTTTCTCATAAATAAACGTTTGGTAGTATAAATTTTTTACTGCACAATATTTTATGTAGCTGCACTGTGCAGCTGAGGAATGTATTTCCTTGAGGTGAGGGTTTCTTGTTTTCCTCCAGCATCTCAAACACATGGCCCTGGTTCCTCCCCACCCCCACCGTGCGACATCGTGGACAGCTACAGTGACAACCCTTGCCCTAGACACCAGCCTCCAGCCACCCCTGCTGACTCCAGGGGCAACTCTGGGTCTGTGACCTTGAGGTGTGTGGGCCCGGAACACACTTTCCTGTTCTGCATGAGCCAGGCAGGACAGGAAGTCTCAGGCCCACAGCCTCAATCATGGAACTCTAGCCAACTTTTCGTTTTGGATTTTAGAGAGGGTCTCACAGTGTAGTCCAGACTGGCTTGGACTCACTTTGTAGCCCAGGCTGCCGCAAACCCAGCAGTTCTGCCTCAGGCTTCTGAGTGCCGGGATGACAGGAGTGTCCCATCACACCTGTATCCTTTCTCTTAGGGAAGACACATTTTTCAGTAAGCTGCAGCATTTTAGGACTACTTCACAGGCAAAGTATAAAAATATTTATAGCTTAATTTCTTTTATTGAACTTTTTTTTTTATAAAAAGCAGGCATAAAATACAATTACATTACTACAAAGATGCAACAAAATTTAAAAAATCGATGATGATTTTTGTTCGGGGACAGCTGATCAAATACTGATGATCTCAACCATGCAGTGGTAACGTACACAATTCCAAACACAAGTCACCACGGGGACAGGGCAGGGTCAAGGAGAGGCCCTGGGTGTGCACCAGCACTGCACACAGCGCCCACTTTCAAAGTGCTTTAGGTCTCTCGGGGCTGGACACCCTCAATGCCGCCCGTAACAGAGCTGGAGCAGGAAACCCCGGGCCTCGCACCGCCCAGTGCTCCGGGCTTCTCCGGCCCTCGGTCCAGCAGGCAGCAGAACCCCTCCCACTGTAGTTTGGCAAGCTGGGGTGCTTCTGCTCCTGGTCTACACAGACAGACACACACCAGGCAGTTCCGTCAGAGCCTGCCAGGCTCACACGGAACCAGCACGCCCGTCAGGAGCACTGACCTGTAACTTGGGGTCATCAGCACACTGATCCATTAGAGTATTTTAAAGTTTCAGATAAATTTTATTTTTTTAAAAAATCTTGCTTCTAGATAGCATTTTTTAAAAATACTTTAAAAATTCATTATACATTAACTTTCAACAGTAATACCGACACTAGTTTTTCTTCTGTCTTGCTATCCCCACAAAACAAAAGCCAACTGAGGAAACCCCAGTATTCACTCTTTCTGAGTCCAACAGGAGGTACTGGTGGCCGGGAGAATCGGGTGTGGGAGGATAAACACTGGTCTGGACAGATCTCTCTTGAAGTCTTGGGGCCCAAGGAAGAAACTGGGCAGGAAAGTGGGGCAGACACCCCCAGGGCCCTGTTCGGGGGCCTCAGCCCCCAGCGCCTCCACCCTCCACATGAGCTGCCTGGACCATACCACGGTTCTCCTCGTTCTCATACACATACATATCGCACTCAAAATTTAAACCTTTGTCTGTTTTACTCAAATACTTCAATTACTCATGTGTAAACTTGAAATTATTTCACCTTAATAAAGTTTATTAAAAATATATATATATATATACTCTCCAATTCAGAATAGGATAGAACCTCCCATAGTGTAACAAAATCTTTATATAAAATATTAATTCAGTCTCCTTTTAAACAACTCTAATGAATGGAAACATCTCTTCTATATAAATTTTATATTTTTCATTTTTCAATCTTACTTAAAAAAAAAAAAAAAGCCCACGCGGCCTGGAGACGTCTGCTTCCTTCTGAAACCCCAGGCTCGGAGGAGTCCCTGCCCCCGCTCAGTCCCTGCGGCCTCCGGAGGTCCCTGCAGGAACCCCGTAGCCGCAAGCAGCAGGTAAAAGCCGGGGCCAGTGCCCCTGGGCGGCCTCTCCGAGTTCCCTGACCCAATACTGAAATATTGCAGTACACAGTTGTGTGTGAGGATCACATTTAAATATTTAAAATATATCTACAGTATACCTTAGTTTTCTTCTATTTGATACAAGTTTTGAATCTTGAGTGTGGAAATGTAAAAATAGACATAAATGTCTTCACCAGGAAGGAAAACACATCCTGGGCAGCCAGTGGTTTCAAGCGAAGCAGGCCCTGCAGGCCGGGCCAGTGCAGGCCCTGCGCGGGGCTGGCGCCTCGGCGGGTGTCGGCTCAGTCGGGCCCCACACCGGCCGTGACCCTTCCCGGGTCAAACTGCTAAAAACACCACGTGACACCCCTGGAGCAGGCTGGCGCTGATTTACACGTGCACTACTTTTCTTCCACAATGCAACTCTGCATCCTAAGAGCTGGTAAACACATACTTTTCTCTCCTTACACACAGGAAAGGGCTGCAGCTTGAAAAGAAATTAAATTAAGGCATCCAATGGGAACAGCGGCCTATCACAAAGCATGAGGAGACAGAAGGGCCGAACTCTTGTTAGGGCGATGCTTAGTGCGAGCATGCAGCTTCTACAGGGCGCCAGGACTGTGGCTCTGGCACTGTGGCCTGCGTGGTCGCCGGCTGTGACTCAAGTCCGGGACTGGATCAGCGGATGTGAAAAGCCAACAGGGAGTCTATGGCCCCCTCGACACATCCCAGCACAACCTGGGGACAGTGTTGGGGTCACTGGAGGAGGGTGCAGCGTCCTGTAGTGGAGTCCACCCCCTGACACTCCCGATCACTGTGCTGGTGAGGTCGCAGCAGACGTGGATCCCTCCTACATGTAAGCTCCCCTCCACACCAAGTGCAATGTAGTGTATGCGACACAAGGGGGCGTTACGAAAGAAGCAAGTGTGGAGAGCTGCGGTGGTGCCCCTTCTCTGGGAGCGGTCAGCATGGGCTTCACTGTTCCCAAGGAGCACAGGAAGGGCTCTGAGAGTTGGAGCTTACATCACAGAAAAAAGGGATCGCACGCACGTGCGTGGCATGCGTGCGTGTGTGTGAGTTCCTCAGGAGGATACAGCTTTTTACTAAGTTCTGGGCCATAGCATTTCTGTCCTGTTTACCTGGAAGACCACGGGCACCTTGATGATGACTTTCACAGAAGACAGTTAGCTGGAAAGAGAGAGAAGGTAAGGTCAGCTGGCACAGAACACTGACTTCAGAGCGGCAGTTCCTTGGGAAGCACTGGTTCATACCATGATACCGACTGTCTCCTAACTACCACTTTTCTAACATCTAACTCCTGCATAACCATGTGTAATCACGCTATTTTTCTCATTGTTAGCTACATGCAATTAACTATGTTCTTTCTTAGTACAATAGTGGATTTTCTTTTTTTCTTCTGCGACAAGGTTTCTCTACACAAGCCTTGATTCTCCTGCCTCAGCCTCCCAAGTGCTGGGATGACAGGTGTGAGCCACCATGTCCAGTGACAGTGAACTCCAGAAGCTCCACCTTGGCTGACATTAAGTACAAATCTCAGTGCAGGTGTGATGGCCTAAAGTTGGATTGATTTTTTTTTTCCCAATCTTTTTGAGACAGGGTCTCTCTGTGCAGTTCAGGCTGGCCTTGAGCTCACTTTGTAGCCCAGGCTGGTCTCAAACTGGTGATGATTCTCCTGCCTCAGCCTCTCAAGAGCCAGAATTGCAAGTGTGCCCAGCTAAGACTCTCTAAGGTTAAAAGCACACCACAGCAACACATCTGGACAGAAAGCTTGACTTTGAGGGGCAGCTGCCAGTTGAGATTTTTTTCTTAAATTCAGCAAAGGGTCAAAACTTTAAAAACACAATTTAAAAATTAAATGAAGGCATTCAAAGGGGGAAAAGTTGCCTGTCATGAAGCAAAATGGGAAATACACCTGGACAGTAAATATAAAGACACTCCATGAAAACCGGCTGGAAACAGATCCCACAATTTTACGGTGTTAAGTGTGTGTACAACACACTCAATTCCACAGGCACCACGGTGACGTCTAGGTGAGAGGGTGAGGCCGGGCTCAAGCTCAGCCTCCTTAATCACACAAGCCCCACCACTCTGCCCACCCATAGCGCAGGGCCGCCCACAGCACAGCACACGCATTCTCCACAGGCTCACGCTGACCCTGCGCGCTGCACTGCACCGGGAAAGCGGAGCGGAAAAGCACTCTCCCGCGGCGCTCAGCAGCCACTCGGCTTCCCGGGTTTGCACCTGCGCAAGTATGAGCAGCGGGCAGGAGCCATGCTATGTTCACAAACTTGAGTGCACACAGGAGCGCCAAGGTTTTCCTTTGCAGAATACCGTGTTTTTGGAATGAACAGACAGTACCAAAATTATGAGCTCCTTTTGCTGCTTCTACATTTATCATTGCTGAGATAAAAATTTTACTTCCAACTGTATTGCAAGTTTAGAGCCAATAAAGAATCTGAACATAGCATTTCACTTTGACATCTGATGTGGAAATTTCAGTTAGAATCCTTTGTGGAATCTACATTTTAAATGTATGCTATTAAACACAACTTATAAAAATTTTAAAACTGGTAAAAACTAATGAAACTCAATGGCAAACACATGCGCTACAAGAGAGTACCAAAACTCATTCTGCACATTTTGATTTACCCCATTTCTTTCTTCAGAAATCAAAAACATCGTCATCATCATCACCACCATCACCATCGTCAAAGGACCAATCCCAGTCCTTGAACGCCAAGTCAAGCAATCTGCAACAGGGGGGGCGTGAATTCACACTCCACACCTCTGGAGAGTGCAGCAGCTGTCCACTCCACTGGGGGTGCTCCCAGCCTCCTCTTTCTTGGACAGCGCTGCTACTGTGGTGCACAGCGGGAAGTCACCCTCTCCCATGTGACCCACAGTGTGTGACATCAGCCGGGTGCGGAGGAGAGCAGACCTGTGAGCCTGGGTGTACATACACATGCATGCTCCAGGAACCCAGTAGGGAGACAGTGAACAGGAGTGGGGCCCTGAGTGGCCTTGTGTTGCCCTGGAAAAGCCAGGTGTGGGAAGCCATGGTGGAGGCAGTGCTGTACCTCACCCGGCTCCGACATGGGGTGAGACTCAGTCAAGTCCTTTGGGAGGGCACAGGCACCTTTGCCTGTTCAGACACAGGGGAAGCGTGGGCTTTTTGACATCCATCTGGTCCTCAGGCTGTGACCCGTGTCATAGGGCCCTGCACTAGTGTGTCCCCGGGCTTGTCCCCAGTGCCTGAACAAGGAAAGACGGGCTGTAGGCACCAGTCTGGCTTCGAGAGCAGGACCGAGTGGTGGGCAGCTGACTGACTGCCTAAGACAGAGACTACCCAGCCTCTGTGCTGAGACAGGACACTTAGGACAATCTCTACAAACACACCACCCTGTGGCAACAGTTCCTCTGCGCCATGTCATGTTGCCTGTGACAACAGCTCCTCTGTGCTGGTGTGCATTGTGGCCCTGGCTATAAGGCAACCACTCGGGCGCTCACTTCTGTCTGTGGCACTGAGCCAGAAGCGGGTGCCAGCTGCAGCCACTGTCAACCCCCAGCTGCTGTGCACACTGAGACAGCTTCAAGTACTCAGTGTGTGCCGTGGATCATGAAGGCACCTGGGAAGACTGTGGTAGGAGTGGCATGGCTCCGGGCCACCTGGGCTTCCGGCCTCACCTGGGCTTGTTGGGTGCCAGCTGCCGGCTGGGCCGCCGGATGGACTGGTTCTGTGGGATCTTCATGGAGGTGCGGGGCGAGGAGCGCGCGAAGGGGTCGGGGGCGGGCGGCTTCTTGGGGATCTTCTTCACCAGGCGGCTCACCCACTTCTGCTGCTCCTCCGTGGAGTTTGCTAGCAGCAGCAGGTTCTTGGCGGTGGATATGTCGTAGTATACTGGGAAGGACATGTGGGCTGGTCAGTGCTGGCAGGCTCTCTCTGGCAGGCCCACTGCGGAGCAGGAGGCCACTCACCTTTGCATGGTGCGACAATCTCCTCCTTTCTGTCTAAGTGGTCCTTGTGACACTTGATGTGGCAGCGGCGGCACTCTAGGGCAGGGGGGGGCTTGAACATGTGCCACAGCGGCTTCATGCAGGCCTCGCAGTTGGTCGGGAAGTGGTACAGGGTGGGGATGAACTCGTGCCCTTTGTAGCAGATGTAATTCGATTTCTCGCCCACTGGCTCCACCGGAAACTCCTGTTCCTTCTTGCTTTCTCCTTCATTGGCATACAGGATCTACAAACCCAAGAAGAGCAAGTGACATCAGGCCAAGGTCCTAAGTGCTGTGCTCTCACTTCCGACAGTGAAGGTGCAGAGAAAACGAGCCTCAGCCACCGGGGGATGCAAAGGTCAACCCACATGCCCGGCAGCCAAAGGAGGCCTCTGCAGCAGCTACTGTGCGCAGCCCAGGTTCAGTCTGCAGCACCTCTCCCTAAACAGCAGCAAAACCAGTCACTTGCTCTGGGTCCCCCCACCGCGGGGCAGGAAGGTGCTACTGACGCATGCTCCCTAAAAACAGAAAACTGCGCCCTGGCAAAGCTGGCACTCTGGGAGATGGAAGCTGCAGCATCCTGCACTGGAGCCCCGGTGGGGCGACTCAGTGAGGCCATCTCAACAAGAAGGGCCAGACCGGGAGTCTTAGGGCATGGCCTGATGCGAAGGCCTAACCCAGAGGACTGGGTCAGAGCTACATGCAGCCTTCTTTCAAGAGATGTGTTTTCAGAGAATGAGGGAGAGAGGAGAAGGACAGGACAGGCAGCCTGTCCTGAATAAACAGCGGGAGCACTAGGCTAGCCAGGCTCCGTGGCTTTCACACAGAAATAGCTCCATGACTAACATTGGTGTGAATAATCTTAAAGTTTACTTTTGCTTTCATTTTTTGGGGACTAAATAGAGGGACTTTAGACTGGGCTACCTCCCAGCCCTTTTTAAATTTTGTGTTTTTTTAAATGGATTTTTTGTTTTTCAGGTTCGGTGCTGAGGACTGAACCCAGGGCTTCCAGCTTGCTAGGCAAGCGTTCTACCACTGAGCCAAATCCCCAGCCCCGCCCTTTTAAAATTTTGGGATAGGGTCTTGCTATATTGCTCGGATTGGGCTTGGATTTGAGTCTGTGATCCTCCTGCCTCAGCCTCCCGGAGTGCTGGGATTCTAGGTATACATATACACTTGGTTGGCTTCATGTTTAAACAGGAAATAGGCTACTAGGTATAAAACTTAACTTTGTGAGTGACATTTTCAACTTTTAGAGAGCCAAAACCTAAAACTCAAAACCCAAAACAGGAGGAAGTTCAAGTGTAAACAAATGAACAAATCACAAACAACATTGCAAAAAAAAAAAAAAAAAAAAAAAAAAAAACAAAGACCAGAAACGTGACAGAAACAGATTGGGAATTCCACAGCAGCAGTAGGGCACCCTGAGGGACAGGCCTGCTCTCGGTGGCTGGGAGGGAAAGCTGGGCCGACGGTCACTGGGGAAGGGGCGTGCTGAGCCAGACCAGGAGGGCTGCTCACCTGGAATATCCTCGGAATCTCTTTAGCATCTGCTCTGTATACATCCGTCTGTGTCACCGGTCGGACGTGAAATAACTTGCTGTAAAGAATTCATAAAGGTGAGTAGGATCCCCGGTAACCCCTCCCCGCAAAAAAAGAATTCATAAAGGAACAGAATATTACAAAGTATCAAATTCCCCCAGTTAACCTATATTTGTGTGCAACTTAAACCTGAGTGCTCTGACCCATGCTGGAAGCTCAGAATATCTTCTATTCATTCAATCTTTAATAAGAGTTTTCAGACATTTTTGCTAAGTCGAATTTTCCAATTAGCGTCACAAAATATCACGAAGACCCATGAAATAATGACATAATTTTATATCCAACTGTCATCTGCCTAAAGGAAACTATAAACATGTAAGAAAATGTAACACTACTATAGTAAGAGCTATGTTATGAGCTCTTCTATGATGACTAATAAACTGCAGGAGCTTGGCAGGAAAGGTCGCCTTACTCTTATATTGCACATATAACGAAGATGATAAAAGTGGTAAAGACAAGCTTAGATGATGAAGTCTCTGAACATTCTCGTAAAAACACTTACTCTATATCTAAAACCATGTACGGGTTAGACTGCTCTTTATCTTGTTCGCTGTCATAGAAAAGAATCTTCTTGCTGCTCACGATTACATACTGTTGAAAAAGAGGGAAGGAGGCATCAATGAGTGAACTACACACCACACTTGCAGCTGGCTTCGAAAATAAGTTGTATATTAGCCATACAAGGTGTTTCCTGAAACACCTAGTAACTACAATGCACTGAGCCATCTTTAGGAAACTGACAAAGCTGTCTGTAGATATTTTCTTTATTCATTTTTGACTTATAGATATTTTAAATAAGCAAATGGGAGGGAGTGAGGTCAAATATTTTCGGACTGATTTTGGCATCCAATAGTATTAGGAAACTTACCAAAAATGAATGCAGAAACATCAATAATCATAGTAACAGAAGAACAAAACATAAATAAGTCACTCTTCTATCCAGAGCTGTTTTCCCACTGACACAGCAAAACCACCAAAGTCAACTGGCTGCTCTTCTCCTAACCTCAAAACTCAGTCTGCTACTAACAACACACGGAGGATCTTTTTTTAAATAGAAATCAAATCACATCATTCCAAATCAGAAAGTATAAACAAGTTGGGTGCGTCTGAAAAGTCTGGGTCATGTACTTTCTACAGCTACAAAAGTGAAGCAGCCAGAGCTGAACCAGAGGCATACACAAAAAGCAGCACACTCAAAATGTATCAGTTACCTTCTTCACCCATCCAAATTTCTTAGTGTTATTTCGTACAGGTAATGAAAGCCATCCTTCTAATCTTGACTCTGTAAATAAGCACAAGATATGAAGGTAAATCTAATGATTTTCTTTAGACAGGAGGAATTCAATTTTAACACGGACATCATGAAGTCTGTTCAATGTGCCCTTCAGAGTATTTCACTGTACTTTTGCATACGGCACCAAGGTAGGGTCAGCAGAAGCGAGTTAGGCACCCAAACCAATCCAGGTCACGTCCCACTAGGAAAACGCTGCGCAGCTGTACAAAGTCAAACACACTATGAATTTCATGCACTGGAGTAATTCAGGAAAACTTGCACACCACCACAAAGTCCAGCGACCCTATTCTCCCTGGTGTATCAGCGTTGTAATTTCTTTCTTTCTTTTTTTTTTTTTGTCTTTTTTGTTTTTATAGGTACCAGGGATCGAACTCAGGACCGCACACTTGCAAGGAAGGCGCTTATGCCACTGAGCTAAATCCCCAGCCCCCTGCGTTGTAATTTCTTACTTTCCCTTTGGAAGAAGCCTAACTTCGAGGAGAAAACATTTCAGTGTTCAAGAGACATCTCTGCAAATCCCTGGTTCAGAGACTTTCGGAATGGCTGTAGCAGGATGAAGTGAGGCTTCGACTCACAGATCAAACCTGGCCATGAGACCTCAAGCAGCAGCAGACACCAAAGCCGTCCAAACCCTGCACTAGCAGAACCAGTACAGTTCCAGTCCACCAGATCAGCGACTTTCCAGAAGCGAAGTACATGGAAGTAGAGTCTGGGGAGGTCATTTGGCTTAGATGCTTCACCTAAGATCTCTGTAACCCTCACCACAGCACCTTGGAATCCCTCACTGACACAGGACACTCGGCTCGCCTGAGTCTAATCGAAGACATCCTGGGCTCTTTTGCAGGAATGAAGGCACTTTTGGAGGACTGGACCAAACGGCCACATCCCTTTTTAAGGGCAAGGCCAATGTTGACCATGTCAAGTCCTTGATGAAAACCTAAACCTACTCTCTTAAACAGTCATGAATTTTTCTGTACTATCATTCTTGACAGGTAATGTGACAAAATATACTGCTCCATGTCTATGAGCTGGCAAAGTAAGTGAACTGTGACAATGCAGCATCACATCAAAGTAGAACCACATTGTTCATGCAGCAGCTGACTCTGCACGGAGTCCACGGCAACGCATCGAGTTAGTACAGATGAGCTGGGGTTATGGAGGAGTAAGGGCGGCGGGCAAGGCCACACTGAGAAGGTTCTCACGCTGTCACCTGCACCACTGGGCTCCGGTGGAGCAGGCCAGTAAGGCAAAGGCTCTCCCGAGTCAGAGTCCGAGTCTGAGTCTGAGTCTGCGTCCAGGAGCACACAGGGCCCAGAAGGCCCAGCGGCCAGGCTGAGCGAAGCAGAGGAGTGCCGGTAGGAGAAGGACACGGACTCCATGGTGCGGGACTGAGTGATGCGAACTGAATGCCCACCACGACCATGCAAGGAAGCAGGTGGGGAGGAGAGGAAAGAAAGGGGAAGCTTCAGAAGGGCGTGCCTAGAGAACAGAGGGCCACAAGTCTGCATGGGGTGGCTTCTTTCATAGCCGTTTTCATGAATGGTAGTGACAAAAATCAACCAATGAGTCCAAAATGAAAATGATAAACATTTTCCTCACAGTGATACATGTTCACCCATGTTTATAGCAGCACAGTTTATAACAGCTACATCTTGGAAACAATCTAATGTCCATCTACTGAGGAATGGATAAAAAAGATGTGATATTTCTCTATAATGGAATACTATTCAGCACAAAGAATGACAAACTGGACATTTTAAAGGCAAATGGATGCACCTTACAAACATATTAGTGAAATTAATATGTCACGCATCCATAATCATCGTTTCATTAGTATGATAATGAAAAGACATGTACTTTGTCCCAGAGAGAATGACTTCAGCCAAGCAATGACTCAGGCCACACCTGCCTTCACTTTAACTAACCCACTATGAGCCATTTTGAGTTGACTTTTGAATGTCTTAAGAAATTTCTGATGAGCTATGACGTTTGGGTTTTTTGCATGTCAATATCCAATTGTTCCAGTATATTTACTGAGGATACAGCTCTTTCTCTACTTAATTGCTTTTGTATCTTGGCCAGAAATCTATTGTCTGCTATGTGGGCATCTATTTTGGGATTTCATATTGGTACTTTGGTGGTTTATCGTTCTTGTTTCAATGCCATTCTGTTATGATTGGTGTAGCTTTGTGATAAGTCATGGGATTGGCGGGGTGGGGGGGGTTGGAACTCTAATTTTGTTCCTTTATCGAAACTATTTATTGACTATTGAGTCTTTTTTACAGACATGTAAGAATTAAAATGTTAATCTATATGAAAAATGATGTTGATAGTTTGATAAGGAATTGTGTTTTCTAGTCTTTATTTTCTATTTGTTTTTGGTTTGATTCTTTTCTTTTTTCTTTTTTTTTTTTTTTTTGGTGGTAGCAGGGAATGAACTTACGACCTCAGGCTTGCCAGGCAGGTGCTTGTGCCACTGAGCTAAATTCCCAGCCCCCTGTCTTTTAATCTTAATTTCTACAAAAAAACAAAACTTCCTGCAAAGCAGTCAGGTGTGGAGCTCAGCCCCATCCCCTGGCCCACGGGGAGGATGCCGTGGCGCAGGCAAAGCCGCACCTGGAAATCCGTCCTCGGCTTCGGCGTCCCCCAGCCCGCTGCCGATACTGGAACTGTCCAGGCCAATGTGCAGGGCTTGCAGCTGCGACCGCAGCTGCTCAATGTCGCTGTCCTTGCTGTCCAGTGTCATCTGCAGCTCAATTCGAATCTGGCTCTCCTCAGCTATTTGCTACAAAAAAAAATCAAATGAAGTCAGTTAACTGGACGCAAGAGACCTCGTGATTCTGCGTCCTAGCTCAGTTAACAGTCATCCATAGAAGAGCTCCACAGCCAGCCGGACACACATGGACACAGACAGGGACACAGACACAGTTCTACCGCTTAGAGGAAGCCCAGTGGGAGTCCCATGGGCAGCTTACAGCCTGCATCTCATTCAGTTCCTTCTGGTACTTGATCATCTGCTGGGTGAGTTTTTCCCGCTCTGACTTCAGCTCCATGTGCAGCTTTCTGTTCTCCTTCTCTTTTCTTCGGACTCTTTCTTCTGTGTCACTGCCACGCTTGACAGGTTCTTTTCGATTCATGATCTCAGCCAACTTATTCACAGCCTTAAAAATGTAGGAACAGTAAAATACACATTGATGTTTTCTCAGTTAACACACCAATCCCAAATTACACAACCACTAATAATCCCCTTCGCTAGGTGGGAACAGGAGAGACACTTTCCAGGTAATTAATTCATCTTTTTTATTCTATGCCACACTAGTTTCTGCTCTTGTGGCTTCCGAGAGCTGCAATTTATACACTGCCCAGTAGAGGTACAGTCCAGGGGGTTGGGCTGTGCTGGACATGTGCAGCCCGGGGTTCAGTCCCCAGCACAGTCGCACTGTTCCAACCACTTCAACTGCTGGCCCCTCCTGAGCACCCCCATAGGTTGTGCTGCCCGCAGCACCGGGGTGGTGGGTGCTGGTGTCACTAACCACAGGGGCCTCTGCATGCCCCAGTGTGGACTGTGAGCAAATGGTTGGGGGAAACGGACTGAATTCCTATAAGCTACCAAACATGCGTTCACATGGAAAACTGAGAAACATGGTCACAGACATTGAAGCAGATAGTGCTAGTCCAATCTAGCTTTTCCCAGCCTGGCCAAAGTGGGCTCAGAAATACTGATACAACAATGGCTACAGCGTCCCATCTGTAACGCTAGCAGCAGAGTGGGAAAGAGACAGACAGAACACAGGAGCAGAGTGTGTGATGACATACTTGAGTCTTGAGGGTCCTCTCTGTCAGCAGCTGCTTTTCAAACTGTGCTTTAATAGCCACGGCACTTATCTCCTCCTCTTTTAACCTTGACAGCTCTGAAACATGGAAACACGGACGTTAGACGGACAGCGTTGGCGCTCGCCGGACAGCAGTTGTGTGTGTTAACAATGGCTCTCTCAATACGTACGTTCCTGAGCATCTTTCAGCTTGTTATTTAATTCTTCTTTCTCATTGGCGAGATTGGCAACATCACTGGTCAGTGTCCTGTTCGTTTCTTCAAGCTAATGAAAGACAGGAGAAATGCCATCCCAATCAACTATGTGCAAATCCCGACACGTGGCCGACCCTCTCCCTGAGGAAAGCCTTGCGTGCAGCCCGGGGAGGCCAAGCTTGCCCTTCTTCCCCAAACCCCTGGCAGCTCTCAGAAATCAGAAAGGCACTTCACAAACCAAGAAAGGGGAACACTGAGGTCTGAATGCCCATGGCACAGAACACATGAATCTAAGTCAGGGGTTTCCCGCAGAGAGGTGCCTGGCCATGAGGACAGAGACCCTGAAGTGCTGCTTCTCCTGCAAGCCTCCTGAAGAGCCCGCCCCGCTCCCTTCCGGAAGGCACTCTGCACGCATGCACCCCTTGCCCTCCGGAACCTGCACCACATGTGCAGAAATCATGTGTGGCTAGCGGGACCTCTTCGGATCTGTTTTCACTCATCACACTGAAGAAGGAAACTGCCCACACAGATTGTATTTGTTTAATGGACACAGAGCCACATCGCCGAGAACAGGACGTATCCATTCATCTATTCATCTATTAACGTGACATCTGAGCTTTGGCTGCTCACAAACCTTTATGCTGGAAGCACTAGGCCTAAGCTTCCCTGTTATCTTTGCTTTAATATGGCCTTCTGTGGGACTAAACATACATTTAATGTTTACAGGAAGCTTCCACATAAGTACTAGACTACACCAGGCCATATCTGCCACTTTTTTTGTGTGTGTGTATATGTTTTGGAGACAGGCTCTCGCTGTGTAGTTCAGGCTGGCCTTGGACTCACTTTGTAGCCCAGGCTGCTTTTGAATTTGCCTTAGCCTCCCGAGTGCTGGGAATACAGGAGTCTACCACCATGCCCAGCTATGCCAGACAGTTTTCAAACACCTGAAATGGTTCAATACCGAGTTTGCCATGCAGTGGGCATGAAATAATATTTTAAAGCTCTTTTATCCAGCCTTTTCCTGAAGTGCAGGAAAGCAAGATACTTGCTTATGTATTTCGCTTTCCTCTGTTGGACAATTTCTCTTCTTATAGACAGTATAGATACTAACCCTTGTTTAATGAATATAGTACAAAAATTTTCTTTCTGCCTGTCCTTTACATTGCCCTCTGTGCCATCTAAGTTTTGGGTTGTGTTCCAATAGCTTAAACTTTCAATTTCCACTTGAGGTCATTAAGACAGCTAGGACTTCCCTGATGTGTGGTGCGGTGGTACAGAGCTCACTCTGCTCCTTGCTACATGGGAACAGAGGGGTCGTGAACCTGTTGTACTCTAAGAAAATAGCTTCGTTATATGTGTATTATAGCAAACCTGCAAATGTGGCTTACTAAATGTTTTTTTTATCCTTTTTCCCTAACTGATATGTTAAGTGACCTAATTGATATGTTGAGCAACACTCTCCTCTGTAAAGAATTGCAAGAATCTCACCTAATTGATATGTTAACCATTGTTGCCCTCTACGAACTACAGAAGTTGTGCTAAACCAAGCTAACAAGGGTTGTTAATCACTGTTAGGCGCCTCTATTCTCTGCTAAAGAGCTAAAGAAAATTAGAATGGCCCATTTATTTACACTTGTTTAAAGTAACCTGCTTGTGTGCTGAAAGATTTGCGTATGAGTTTAACCCTTTATCTGACCTTGACACATAACCGCCGTTCTCTGTTCTGTATGGCGCCTTATTGCCTCCCTCTCCCCTCACCTATCTATCTAGGCCATAAAGAATTTGGGTTTCTGGTGACCTCTTCCCGACCCGGTGATGATCTGTCATAAAATGAGCCTGCCCCAATTTTAAGAACTGTTTAGCTTCAAAGAAATTACCGGGAAATACTATGGCCCAAACCCCAATTGGTGCTTTCCTTTTGTTCTGTATGCATCAAATGAGTTAGGTATCAGATCTTTGTAAAACTTAAGTTTCAGCTTCTTGTAACTCTTGACCCCTTCGCACCCACTAGCGAAAACGAGCTGTCCTGGGATAATTAACTTCTCCACTTTCTTCTCCAAATATTGCTGCAGATGTGCCACTCCGAGATAATGTCAGTCTGTAGGATGGGAGTAATTTGAGAAACACCAGGAACTCCCGAGATTGTCAGAGCTAAGTGGACAGCAATACAGTTTCCAGACTTGGGTCAACAAGTTTGATGGCTCTGCAGGTTTCTTTGTTTCTCCCCCAACTTTTCCTCCAGCCTCTTTTTAAAGTCCTTCCTTCAGTCTCTGGGACACAGTCTCCAAATTGGCTCCCGGAGACTGGTCGCCAGGCCTGGAAATAAAGCCTTTGCCACCTAAATTTTTGGTCTCTTGCCTCCTTGGATTTTATATCGGGGCCCAAGTTATAACAAACCCCGTATCATATCAGCACTCTCCCTTCCACTGCCCTGTGCACTGCACCCCCATCTGCTGCCTCTGGCTGCCCGGCTCCACTCCGGCCCTCAGCCCTCATGCAGTGGGCCGCACAGCCCTGCTCCAACATGTACCCCTGGGGTCCCTGGAGCATCCCCGTGGGTTTGAGTAACTGGCAGGACAATGCCTGACCCTGTGCTGCCTGTGAATTCCCTTTGGCTGGGCTGGCATTGTGCCCACATGTGCGGGTTCTCTTCAGAGTGGAGATGAGCCCAAGGCCTCTGCAGAAGCCTGGGGAAGCCCTTTTACCATGAGCCAGGGAGCAGCACCCCTCACTCACTGATGCGATGGTGGCATCCTTCTCGGCGAGCTCCTGTTTGTGTCTGGCCATCATCTCCTTGATCTCCAGTTCTTTCATGATTTTCTCCTTTTCCAGATCAGAGTACTGCTCTTCAGCAATGGAGCGAGCCAGCTGCTCGGAGTCCGCTTTGGTCAGGGTGATCTCCAGCTGGGCAGCCAAGGAGTCCCTGCACCACAGAGGAACTTTGTCATGGGTGCCACCACAGGGGGATGCCCGTTCAGCTCCCGCTTCACATGGCTGAGGATACAGAGCCCAGGACATGGGGCTCCCGCTGACCAGTGTCCTCCCCAAGACAGCAGCAGTAGACACCCGACCAGAAATGGCCCCTGAGCTCACCGTTCATCCTGGAACTCCTGCTTCTTCTGCTGCAGTTCTTTACAAAGTTTAGTCTTTTCTTCACATTCTTCTTTAAGCTCCCTGACTTGGGTTTTGTAGAGAGTCTGAGCAGCAAAAAATACAAAAGAAATACCTACGCTGCTATCGAGAATATGATTTGCAAATTTGCAGTCTATCTGGAGAGAAGCTGCACATGTAAGAACTTGTCCCCACATGAAGATAACGAGCCCCACCATGCATATGTTCAGCCAGTCACTGCAAGGCCTCAGGGCACATGGGCAGGAAACAAACATGCCCACTTCACAATGAGAAATTCTGTTCACTTAAATCAATAGAACAGGGGCAGCAGCCCTGCCTGAAAATTTAAAACTGACCCCAAAAAGTACAGATGTGAAAATTTTTCATTATGAAAATATATTCTTCCTCAAAAAAGCAACTCTTAGTAACACAGGTATGATATAGTGTGTGCTTAGAACGGTTTTTTTGTTTGTTTGCAGTACTAGGGATCAAACTCATGACCTCATGCTTGCCAGGCAGGCACTTATGCCACTGAGCTAAATCCCCAGCCCTAGAACATTGTTTTTTGAGACAGGTGCTTACTACATAGCCCAAGCTGGCCTTGAACTTACGGCGACACTCCAGCCTTAGCCTCCCAAGTGCGGGGCCAACAGCTCTGCACCACAGTGTACACAGAAGGAATTGTTTTTCTAACAATTTCTGTTACACTATCTAAATTTTTTTTTGCCCACTTCTCTTATGTAAGCTGTGTGATAGGAAACACTCCATGCTAAACACTGCCTGGTGTGTACGAATCTATCTTAAGCACATTTTCCTGGTTCTGCAGCCAGAGTTGTAAGAAGGCTACCAAGACAGCAATGATTGCACGGATGTAGAGAGGACTCACGGAGAAATACTGCTCGGCCTCGAGCTGGTCCTGCAGCTCCTTCATCTGTCCATCGGCGTCCTGCCGCTCTCTGTGGAGACAGTGGAGCACAGGCCCAGTGAGTTCTGCACCCACAACACCAGGCTGTGAGGCAGGGATTGGGGAACCCCCAAGCCGGCTCACACTCTGCTGTAGGAGAGGAATCAGTTCATATTGTGTTCACTCCCCACCAGTATGCGTGGCTTTTCCTGAGGCCACATACAGATAATCACAAGACAAGCTCAGGAGGGCACCATTGGTCACTCTCTGCAGACGAACCCACAGGGGAACAGCCATGCATGCCACACGTCTGCCTAGCTCCAAAGCTTCATCCTGCCCTCTATCACACCACCTCCAGCGGACAGCTGAGTGTTACAGGACCCTCGGTCTGGGACTATTTATGATAGAAAGGATGAGACAAACTTCCAGAGTGTATTTATATTTTGAAAGGTTTTTTTTTTTTGAGTCAGGACCTCACAATGTTCAGGCAGGTCTAAAACTAGGTAGCCCAGATTGACCTTGAACTTGTGGCAATCCTTCTGCCTCAGCCTTTAGAGTGCTATGGTTACAGGTATGCATCGCCACCACACCCAGGATTATTTTGAAAATACTTTAACAATGTTTTCCATGTTTGAAGTAAATTAGGTAGAGTATAAAGTGATTAACCACCAGTATGGTGTTCTCTTAACAGTCACACACTAGCAAGTCCTAGGAACTGAAGCACACTCCAATGGGCAGAGCGCTCCAGGCTGTTGGGAGCAAGACACCTGGAGGGCCGTGGGCCTTACAGACCCTGTGCCCACACACATCTTCCCTGCCACAATGCAGGTCCACAGCAGTGGGAAAAGCAATGGAGGAAAACTAGTGTCCTGGCCTCAAGAGAGAACCTGGCCCCGGGAGCCCCGCAGTGACGCACTTGCGCAGCTCAGCATTCTGCTTCTCCAGGCTCAGCTTCATCTCCACCAGGTGGTTGTTCTCCTGCTTCAGCTGCTTCTCTGACATCCTCAGTGTGTTCACCTGCTGCGCCTGCAGCTTCAGGTCATTCTGTGTGAGGCAGCGCTTCTGAGTCTCCTGCTCTATCTTTAGTGTCAAGTTTCTAACCTACAAAAATAAATCACAGGGTCCATAGTAAGTTGCCTCCATTTTTCGCATCAGTGAAACTGGCAACTGTTGTGACAAATTTTTGTCCTTAGGTAACTGATTCATTTCAGAGCAAAAAATGCATTTCTAAGAATGTTTTAAATATATTTTAACATAAAATATTCTCAAAATAGCTTTGGAATGATTAAGCTTATGATTCATGTTGTACGCCATCAAAGTCCAGCAGGAGAACGGGAGGGACACGAAAGCGAGGTGACAGGGGAGGCCCCCCCTCCACTGTAGCCGGCACTCACGTCCTCGCTGAGCACCTCCTTCTGCGTGCGCAGCTCGCCCAGCTTCTGCTGCGACTGCTTCAGGTCGCAGTCCAGCAGGGAGCACTTCTTCTCCGACTCCAGCAGCAGGTTCTCCACCTTCTGCTTCAGAGCTCTTTCCTCCAGCAGCTTCTTTTCCATCTCTGTCCCAGGTACATGGACATAACCACTTTATATGTGAAAGCACCTTATCAAAGCCAGCATAGGGCCCAAGAAATGACAGTGAAGATACTGCTTCACTACTTTGTTCATTTCCAATGCACTATTTTTGTTACTCCCCTCACTGTATTTGAAATACCAAGAAATTTACACTTGATGCAAGTGTGGCAGTACACACCTGTCATCCCTGCACTCTAGGAGGCTGAGGCAGGAGGATCACAAGTCTGAGCCCATCTTTGTCAGTTTAGGGAATTTGAGACAGTGGTCTCAAAATTTTAAAAATAAAGACTGGGGATGTAGCTTAGTGTGAAGGCCCTGGGTTCAATCCCCAGTACTGGAAAGAAATTAAGAGTGTTGCCGTTTCCAGGGCGTAGAATGGAAGTCACTGTACTATTATACCTATTCTACTGTAGTGAAGGCAAGGTAACATGCCTTTTTATGGTTCTGTAAAATGCTTCCATCTTTGAAGACTGATTTTCAAAGCTCTTAAAAACTACCTATTGGGCTTGTATCCAAATGTCCCCCAAAAGCCTCATGCCATCATGTGGCTCTTTCAGAGGTGGTTAATCTAGGGTGTGTGACACCGGGAGCTGCCCGCGCTGCGTAGCCTAAGACAGAAGGGACAGAAAAAGCTGGGGTTGCTGAGACACATTCTGCCTGCCATGAACTGTTTCTCCTCTGCTATGCCATCCTGCCTTAGAGGCAGCCAATTATGGGCTGAAACTTCTACAAACTGTGAACCAAATAAACTTTTCCTCCTCTGACTTTGGGTGTCGGGTATTTTGTCTCAGCAAAGTAGAAAAGAAACTCAGACACTATACTACCCAGGAGAACATGCCCCCCAGTCTGAGAGATCTAGACCTCTGCATTCTCATGTACTTTTTTTTTTTTTTTTTTTTGAGACAGGATCTTGCTATGTGGCTCAGGCTAGGCTTAAATGATGTTAGTATGTAGTCCAGGCTTGCCTCAAACTTATGGTGATTCTCCTGCCTCAGCCTCCCAAGTGCTAGAATTACAGGCATGCATCACACCTGGCCATCATCATTCTTGATACCACTGAAATATTAATTTCCCTGACTCAAAAATATAGTTGAATAATTTTGTTTGGGCCTTAATATCTTAGAAACAGTTCTCTTGATGCAAAGAAAAAAAAATATGTATATTACCCTAGTAATTTCCCCTCAAGTTCCCAATATTTGACAATAAAGCATAAGCTTAAGAAAAAGACCAAAGAACCGAACACAGAGTTAGTTCTTGGGCAAAAGCTGATGGAAGCCCTCTCTGCAAATGCGTACCTTTCATAGCTTCTGATTTAGCTTCCTCAATGGATTCATAGATCTTATTTTCATCTGCAAGCCGTGCTTTGGTGGCCTTGTGCTCAGCTTCCTCCTGCTCGAAGCTCTGCTGGATGACTTTGAGCCGGTACGTCATGTCTATTTCCAGGTTGCTCTTTTCCTGTTAAGATCCAAACATTGGCTTTCAACGAAAAAGCCCAGTGTGCTATTTCAAAAGCTCTCAGGATTGCTTTCAACAGGTTCGGCTGGGAAGCTCAGCAGCCCCTCCCCCACCCACACTCCTGGCAGCAGCACCTGTGCCCTTGGTAGCTGTACCCCATCACATGTGCAGGCCCTTGTTCACAGACCTGTGCTGAGGTTGCTACACCTCAGAAAGTGACATGCGGCGCCTACCGTCACATCCTCGGCTCACCCCAGCTCTGCCCCGCTCAAGTCACTGCAACCTCAACACTGGCCCCCACCCTGCTTCCCATCCTTTATGCCACTCCTGGCTTCCCGGTGGCCTCAGGAGCTGGCATCTTCTGGCCGCAGCACTTCTCCTCCTGTGGTCATTTTTCACATCTACTGTTTCCCTTCACTATATTAAAACAAAACAAAAACCTCTCAACATCTCTTTATTTGGCTCCCACACTTTTTCTACATATACCACCAGGATTTCTTTTTCTTTTCCTGGAGACAGGATCTTGTTATATATTCCAGGTTGGCCCTGAACTTGTGACAATTCTCCTGCTTCTGCTTACTGACAGCTGGCATTAGAGGCACATATCATCACTCCTGCCTATCAGGATTTTCTTATTTTTTTATTCCTACAGTTCATATCACAAATACCATACAGATATTTTTCTTTTTTCAAATAAAATCTTTAATCCTGAAAATGACTTTTCAACTCCACAGTCCACTACCAGAAGCACCCATCTTGCTGTGTGACACCTGCTACTCTATGCAGTCTCTTCCCAGCAGGCCTCCCACACCTGTGCTTCCGCTCACCTCCCAGCGGAATCACCCGCTGCTACCAGCACGCCTGCCCACGCCTGCCTGTCTCATGCACGTTCTAACGTGGCCATCCCAGAGGCACCTCAAGGTTGAGAGGGTAAGATGGATCTCCTGCTGCCACTTGTGAAGGAGCTGCTCTTCCTTCAGGGGTTCCACGAGAAGTCTTGCCGTGGCCTACAGCCTGAGCCCTTACCCTGGCTGTTGCTCTCCCTCCATGTCTAATCCACAGCCTGGGCCAAAGAGTAACCACTGAGGATACTGTGAGGATACTGCAGTTGGCCATTTCTTTTATTTTGGAGTAACTTTTCTCATCTGAAACTCTGTGATTTTCTTAAATAAAAATGTAAAGTGTAACACGTTTTACCTTTTCCAGATCAGTTAGCTTCTCCTGAAGTTGTCTCTTCTCCAGCTCTACTTTTGCCAGTAAGACTTTGCCATTCTTTAAATCTTCTTCTAGGCCAGATATCCTACCTAAAAATTGCAGCACTTTTTACAACAATCTATTCACAAAATTATACACATTCAATCAAGAATAAACAGCCTGGACAAGCCCTCTTCTATCCTGAAGGTCTCATCTGTCAGCAGGCACCTCCTACTTGTTGGTATCATGCTTCCTGGTTAATTTAGCCAGAAGCCAACCTACCACCTGGGGGCCTGATATTTAAAAATCATATTATTTTAAAGTGTGCTTTTCATAAAACTTTTTACCAATGTGCTTCTAATATTCTAACTTTACATGGTGCTGTGTTCAGAAATACGTAACTGCAGCACAGAATCCATCATCTAAAATTATTACCAAAACACACATCAGTGAGACGGTCTCCACGTAACGTATGCACCATACCCTGTAAGTCATTAATGATCTCTGATCCGTGGGTGCGGTCCCTCCTTTCTGACTCTAGAGCAGATTGAAGGTTGATAAACTCCTTTTCCAGTTTTAACCTGGCTGTCTCTAAGAGGCAGTTTTTATCTTGCAGGTCTCTGTTGTTGGATTCCAGCTGCTGAATCTGTTTGGAACTTTCTGCCTGAGTCTTCCTCAGCCGGGCTGCAGTATCAGATTCTGTTCGCAGCAAAGCATTTGTTTCATCCAGCTATTATACAAACAAAAGCAAACAAACCCGTATACAATGGAAACACATCGGTTCATCATCGCATCCAAACTATTTAAAATAAACAACCACCTAAAAAGGACTTCCTTCTAGAAGTAGAGCAAAGGCCTTTGAGCACCACCAGTGAAGCTTTGGTTAAAGCATACATGAATCGAAAGCCACACGCTGTGTCCAAATGAGAGAAACCTACCTGTCTCTGCAGTTGGTTCACTTTCTCAGTAGATACCTGAGAGTTCTGATTTCTTTTTTTCAAATCTTCAAGTTGATCTTTTAAGCTGTTAACTATAGCAAAAAGCATTTCAGTGTAAGCTCTAACACATCACACCAGCATGTTTTCCTCAATACGTGTGTCACAGTCCACCCCACACACCATCATTCTCCAGGTTCCGTTTCTTGTCTGCCTCGTGGTCGGCTCTCCTCTGATGCTCTGCGTTCTTATGCTGTAACAGCGCCTTCTCTCTCTCCAGCTGCCTTAACGTTGACTCCACAGTTTTCCTCAAGGTAATCTGAAATAAGGCTTAGGTTATTACCTGAGGAATGCACACAAGTCAAATCAAAACAAAATTCTTCAGTTATTTCACACAGATAAGAGATCTAAAAAACAACCCCTACATTGGCTTTGTTAAAAATGTTTATAAAATAGCACACTACACTACTCTTAATCAAAACTCTATGTGTCTCGTTTAGTACTGAAGTCAAACTTTCTTATCACTATTAAACCATCAATATCTAAACCTATGAGTCTAATTATGAATAGCAATTAAAGAAAGTCACTTTGTGCATATAAGTGTGCTACTAATCACAATACAAATGAACTTTTCTTTTTTTTTGCTTGAAATATCTACACGTAGTAAATTAACTGAAGTTTGCAAAAAACACAACAGAATGAAGCCTAGGTAACAGTTACTTGTACTTTCAGTCTCGCTCACCGAGATATGTACTACCACAGCAGGAGGAGACCGCTATTAAGTCAAACATCAAAGACTTTGCTAACAACAATACTAATGTGGGAAAGGAAATGGCGTGGTGACAGGATGCCTGCCTAGCACACATGAAGCCCTGGATTCCATACCCAGCACCAGAGGAAAGTAAGTTAAGGAAACAGCTGAATAGCTCTACCTCTTCTTCCAGTTCCTTCGCTGTTTTCTCCAGGCGAGTATTGATAGATCTAAAGAATTAGAGGGGTAAGTAGAGTAATTATCCTAATTTACGATAAAACCTGAGTATAAATTTTAAAAACTTATGAATTACTTTGTACCTTTTTTAGCAAAATGTTTAAATGTATAAATTTGAAAACAGTAACTGTCTACAAAACATACTTGCACTTTTGCTCCAGCTCTTCTCTGGCTTGTAACTCATTGCTAAGGTGTTCTTCTAAGGTAAACAGCCTTTTTTGAATCTGTCAAAGAAAAAAACAGAAGCAGCAGCTATCAGTTCTGGTCCTATTTAAAGATGAGACAATTAAAGAAAATACTGCTAAGCTTCCATTCCTCCACGTCACGTGGTCCCCTCCATGCTGGGCAGTGTGCGCACCTGCTCAGTGCGGCTTCCGCAGACGGAGGAGTCTCCCCTCCTGTTCCCCCAGCTGTGGCCAGACACAAACCTGTCTGACAAAGTTGCACAAGTGGAGCTGAGAAGCTCCCACCTGGGCAATTCTTGTACAACACAAAGTTTCACACTCTGTTATAAATAAAGAGACCTTTTCTACTGCTTTTCTATAGACTGTGTTTAAACATTTCACTAGTACTGATGCTCACGAGATAAAAGGTTTACAGCTGAAGGAAATATTCAGAATATCCAACAGAATGTGCTAAAAACATATTATTGTTATGAAAGATGAGAATACAAACTCTTCCTTTGTCCTGGCATATACATTACTGAGTACAGCATTCAGAAAAGTTTAACGACTTTGGCTTTGGTTGTTTTGAGACAAGTCTCACTATGCAGTTCAGGCTGGACCTGAAATCACTATGGAGCATAGGTTGGCCTCTAATTCATGGTGATCTTCCTGCCTCGGCCTCTTAAGTGCTAGTATTACAGGTGTGTGCCACCATGGCTTGCCAATGACTCTTTAATAAATAATAGCCAATTAAGTACAGGTCCTGTCCTCTGTATTTTTCCCAGCTATGCTAGTTTAACCAAACACAAACTATGTTGTTTCCTCTTCAAAGGATTTAACTTTTTTGGTCCCTGTGGGTGCTGCTGGTACAGTACGGGGCCCTGTACAAGTGCTTTCTCATTAACCCTAACAAAAGCTCTAAGAAGACAGTAAAAAGGAAGTGAAATTCAAACAAGGTAAATACCAGGCCAGGACAGGATAAGTAATGCAGTGCCCAAATCAACACAGGTCTTTCGACCTCATGTCCGTGTCCTACTCTTCCTAGTAATTATGCTTTCTGTAGTTTCTTAAATATTCCCCATCTTTTAGGAAAATTCTCCTACTGCCTAACATGCTGAGAGCACCCAGGCTAATGAATTGGCCGCCTGAGTTCCTCCAGGCAAAGCGAGGTTCTCCCCAACTGCAAACGAGTCACAGGGCGCCCGGCGATAGGACGGGTGTGCGCATGGGAGCAGCGGTAGAGGGATGCCTGGCAGGAAAAGGCTGCAGCTCCTGTCTCCGGCAGAGGTGGCACTCCAGGCAGGAAGTGAGCTGTGACCACACTAAAACATGGCCACAGGGACGGCTGTTTCTTGGTTTTTCAACACATTTGATAACATACCTCTTGACTTTCCTATTGAAAAAAAGGGGAAACATTGAAATGTTTGTTAGGCATTTTAAATTTTTTTATTTGAATGTAGTTATCATTTATTTGAATGCAGATATCAATAAAATATAAAAACACCATTCTTACTTATAAGAAAAAAACCAAAATCTCATAACAAACTAACTGGAGAGTGACAATAGTTAATACACTTTTGTCTCCTGATACTTTTTTTTAAACGTAGGAGAATTTGCTGGGAAACAGGAACAGCTCCTGAGAGACAAGAGAGATTGCAAATGGGTTGCCCTATCATGACCTGAAAAAGAACTGCCAATACATTACTCAGAGTACAGGCCAAAGGAAAAACAAATGACCAAACTTGCTTTCAGTGAACAAAAGAAACTAGCTATACATATAAAGAGAAAACAAAAGACAGATAAATAGGAAGTACGGAGAAGTTCCAATAAATCCCCAAATTATCTATTTCAAAAATATTTTAAGATAAATGCTAATTTGTTACACAGGAACAGTCCTAAAACATAAGCCATATCAAAATTATCCAACATACTTCTTTTTCTTTTCAAAGAAAGAAAGAGTGTGTGTGTGTGATTTAGTTTTGTATGTGGTTACAAACTGTAGTGGTCCCAAATACTTGACAATGTGAAAAAATGATCCTTTATGTGAATCTATTCTAAAAAGGAACACGGAATTTTAATCTCACCCTTACTTTTGTACCTTAGCTTGATATCTGCATTTTTTTCTTAAATAGTGCCAAAGTTTCACTTTAACTAAAGGTAGGAAAAAGCAAAGAGACAGTGGAAAAATGGGTTCTGCAGAATAAGTTTGGGCCATTTATTTATTTTTGGGTACGGGGGATCAAACTCACAACTGTATGTGCTTGCAAAGCAGACACTTACGCTGTTAAGCTAAATTCTGGCTGGGCCACGTTTTTAAAAAAAATAATAAAAATACAGCCCCCAGTGTCGGATGGGCCACTGTGACGAGCCCCAGGCCTGCAGCAGCAGGACCCTGGCCCTGTTTTGGTGGTCCTGCAGTCCTGTGTGGACCCCTCTGCCAGCTGTACCGCCCCTCGGCAGCACGACAGTCCTCACAGACAGCAACAACCCAGAGCAAGCTGAGCCAGGCCGCGTCAGGGACACCACAACATTTCTTGGGATAAAAAGCAGTATCCAATGGCCGCTTTTAAAAACCGGGGTCACTAAGTATCTGAACACATGACTGAAATCACGCAAGGAGCAAAGGGCTGCTTACTTCGTTTTTCCTCGACTGTACGGGGTCGCTTTCTCTGCACGGTGGAGAGTTGCTCAGCAGCCTAGGAGGAAAGGAGGGGACAATGACATCCTTTGCACCTTACTGTCCTCTACTTCTCGCACTCAGCCAAGTCGTTCTCAGGATGCAACACCAACCACAAAGATTCTCTTTCCACTTCAACCTTTTAAGGTGAAGCTGTATTTTTGCCTCCAGACAGTCACACCATTTTCAGTACTTAAAAAGCTACACTTCCCTGGCCTTGCCTGGTCACATAAGCTAGTTTAACTCTGCCAGGACCGGTGTGCTCCCGCAGCCTGCACTTCCTTCTTCTTCACCTCACTCGGGCTTCTGTATTATTACATTCTTCGCTATCCCATCGGCTAGAAGCAAATGGGTCTATGGGTCCTTTTTGAAAGAGGACCCATAATCTCCAGGTCTTAAAGATAGAAATCATCGCTTTTGTTTTACTGTCAACTTCTCTCAGCTGGGTCCTTCCTCACTGCCTATAAACATCAAATAATGAAAGGAAATTAAAAGTATTTCAGGGTCCTTTATCAGCTTTTAAAGAAAACGAATAATCTTTAATTTGGTCTCAAAACAAGGCATCAGCCTATATTTAAGACTATGAGAACAAATAAAATTTAACAAACAACATACAAATTGTCTCTATAGTAGGTAAATCCTATGAAGGGCAGCTGATTTCCCACAAAAGCTTTAGGAATTGGGAAGGTTTCAACATCGCCTTTATCATCTTCGATGTCATCGAAGTTGCTGCTGTCTATGTCACTGCTGAGCTCGGGCACCACAGGAGCTGCCGCTGTCAAAAGAAGAGACATGGACTGCTTCATTCACCACTGAGACACAAGAACAAACAACCTCTAGGGGGCGACACACTACTAGTGACAATGTGATTGTATGTTATTTCAAAGAATCCAAATTTTATTTATTTACTACTATGTAAGTTTTAAATATATATTAACCAATTAAATAAGGAAAAGTATATGATATTATTCCAAGTGCTAAAAATAACATAACATATATATATTCTTTATGGTCCTCAGTTTTCTATAGTCTTTAAGAAGTATTTTTAATCCTTATAATGAATAAATATGTACTCTCATGCTCCTGCTCTCTCCAAACATACAGAGTAAAAATGAATTACTCTACTGTGTCTTACCAGAGTATATTCTCCATAAATAACTGTTGTTTCATCAACTCAAATACATTCAAATTAAAGATTCTATTTGCCCCATTTTAAAATTGAGATCCACAAAACTTTACTTGAAAAATAAATGTATTATGTTTACTGTGAAAAAATTGGGAAATATTGCTAATATATACATATCAGCTTGTTAATTATAAATATTGTTACAGGGAAAAAATTTGAAATAAAACATCTCCATTTAATAATGAGTTAGCATAAAGTATATCAAACATGCCTGTTATATCAAAAGAGGAGTCAGTTCATGATATTTGAAATGTGATGGAATGGAAGTATTTAGATTTATTGACTTACTCTCTCTTATGTTATCCCAATTCCATTGATCATTCTTAAAGAAAGGGTGCTGTTTGATTTCTTCTACCCCATTTCTCCCAAGACGTACCTCCCTAAACAATGCAGTCAGAGATTGTATTACAAAACTAATGAAAAAATATAAATATTAGCTCAACAGTTTAACTAAAAGTAAGAATCACAAACCAATTTGAGATATTAAAAGCTTCAGCTTCAATGTTTTTCCAAATTAAGCAATCCTAATTTTATAGTGTATGATCTTGGTGGACAGCTTAGAAAGACTGTGCAACAGTCAGCACTGCGGAAAGGGAGTGTGCCTCTGCCTGTCGAGTCAGGTGGAAGTGTCTGAGACTATACAGTAAGAAACTCCACTGTGCTGCAAGCTGCAGGCCCCCACAACCTCAGGATGGCCCCGAGGCGGGGCGAGTGGTAGGCACAGAACTAATGCAGGGTGACAAATACACTGCCCCCTTTTTTTGGTAGCTGGGATTGAACTCACGACTGCACACTTCCAAGGCAGGCGCTTGTGCTGCTGAGCTGAATCCCCAGCCCCACTCCCACTTTCTTAAAAATAATTCATACATTAAGTTTGGATCTATCTACATTTGCTTGGATAAATTCACTCTCTCCCAAATATCTATATCTATATCTATATCTGAATGCCAGGAAAACGTTACTGAGAATTCCATCCTCTCGCCCTCTGAGCTTAGCAGACCATTCCAGGCTGGAGATGTAGCTCATCGTAGAACACTTGCCTAGCATGCCTAAGACATTGGAGTCCATACCCAACACCGCAAGAAGACAAAACAAAGCAAAACAAAACAACTACATTTGTTGCTCAGGAGTGCTCCTAAACAGGAAAAGTTGTACCCTTCTGGCTACATTTGTGGTGTCATTTTATTCTGTTTTTCACCTATCATTCTATAAATCGAATTCCTTCCAAAACTGCTGAAAGAAATCTTCCATGGACAATCCTCCTGGCATGAACACTCTGCACCTTACTTACTCTGCAGTGCTGGTGGGTACACTGGGCACTGCACATGCCAGGCAAGTGCTGCACTACTGAGCTTTACTCCCAGCCCACTTCATTTTATTGAGTCAGGCCCTAAATTGCTGAGGCTGAGCTTGACCTTGGGGTCCTCCTGACTCAGCTGGAATTACTGGCATATGCCACCCTGCCTAGTTATGCCTATTTGATAATGCAATCCCTACCAACCCTCACCTAGCCCCCAAATTAGACACTGTACAGGTTATATTTTGATTTTATCAGTAAGGATCATTAATCATATAGTCAGCAAGTTTTAAAGTTTGAATCTACACATAATTGATAAACATGATTTTCCTTTCTAATAAAGATAAAGTAGCTTTTGTTGCCCCCTTCCTGTGGATAAAATGAAAAAATTTTATAATATTCCATTTGAAGACAGAAAACTAGTTATTATCAGTGGAAATATAAATTGATGTAATTTCTTTGGGGGGGGGTCAATTTCTCAAAATGACTTAAAAATAATGCACCCAGGAGTTCTCCTCGGAATGCAGTCTGCTAGGAGAGTACACTGGCAGAATGTGTGAGGACAGCCACTGCAGCAGGAGCAGCGGTCACATAGGCAGGCAAGCAGGCAGGGGCCAGGGGACATCTGCCTTGGGAGTGCAGATGCAGGGCAAGCGCCCTCTCCAGTTTTTGCCACTGCATCAGACTGGTGAGTGCCAGAGGACGGAGGAGAAAGACCAAGGTAAAAGACTGGACGGGGGGAATAAACGTGGCTTCCCAGCTTCTATTTTTGAGGCATATTTTCACATCTTTGCTTATTTATCTCTTTTGCTTTTAAAAATCAAAGAGTTCCCAGAACAGAGTTATTCACATTAAAATACAAATATAAAAGGGTCAGGAGGATGGACTCCCATGCCTTGTTAATTATGAACTGCGAAGTACCTACACAAACTACGCCCCTTTCCAAAGTTGCATTTCCAAGAGTAATAAGGATTAACTGCCTTAAGAGAGTAAATAATACAAACATTTTCTTTCTTTCAAATGCATTCCATTACTAAGATCTGATTTTTTTCTTTTCAGATATGAGGATTACAACTAGAGTTAGATTACAATTGGGCTGGGCGCAGAAAAAGGTGAGGTAACCCAACACCAGACTTTAGCAGTAGATAAAGGCCAGCCCTAAAGTAAATGCAACTCGGACAGGGAGAGAGTCAAACTGCACGCGTCAACGCAATGACTATCATTTCAACACATTTAAAACTGAAAGAGCTTCTTTACAAAGAAATTCAATATGTATTACCTTTCTGTTAAGAAGGCACAGATGAGATTCTTTGCATGTTTAGAGATTTCTGCGTCTTCGGGGATAGACAGTGAATTTTTATGATCCATAATTTTGCTGTAAGTCCCTACAAGTGAATCTGCATAAAATGGAGTATCTCCTAAAATTCCAAGAAAATGAGACACTGAGTGTAACAGAACATGCAAATGTAAGCTTCCCATCTGACCCCTGACTGTGTTGTACTAGGATGGCCACACCCATGCACAACTAGGGGCCTGTGAGCCAGGGGGCCCAGTTAAAGCCATGTGACATGGGAAAAGAAGGTATTTACGCTTTAAGCACACCAGTGTCCCCTAAAAACAAACCAAGTGAACGTAACTCTGAGTTCATTTCTGAACAGAAGGTGAACCTTTTCTTATGTCATTTAAGAGCAAGCTCCCTCTGCGGGGTGGGGTCAGTCAGGATCATGCGACACTTCCGAGGGCCGTTAGCCAGCCCAGGGGCCGTTAGTCCTGTGTGGCATCTAAAGTCACACTGAAACTGGACAACACAAAACACAGCTTCCTCGCACACATGCCAGCTGCGTCTTGAGCACTCAGTATGGCACCCAGTTTCAATCATGTCCATCCACAGCCAACTGGCAGGCTCGGTGCATCACCACTCCACACAGGTGGGTCAGGGCCCAGGGCGGCTGTGAGGGACCTGCCCAAGAAGGCAGCATAAGGGGAGACAGTCCCCTGGGCTGGGCAGTGTTCAGCTGAGAATGGCTGTGACATGGAGGCACTGAAGCCGAGGTTAAGGCCCTATCCCCTGCCTGGACTCCGAGTAACGTCATTGCTAACAAGGCCTCCTTGAAGTAGTCACTCCAAATAGCCCAAGGTAAACTCAGGGAATTCAAGTGCCATCTTGATTAGTAATGGGATGGTGAAGCTTTTGGAGCTTTCAATGACACAAATGGTGCACTGCAGCATACATGCCACAGGCCCACCACCCCTGGGCCATAATGGAACCTTCAGACAAAGCCCAGGGCCCATCCACCTATGTAAGAACCTCCATGGGTTCGAAACACTGTGAATCATGGCCACTCAACTGATTCCTGACTTGTGCACAACAGTGGGCATTTAAACCACCTCCTGAGCCTGTGAGCCTAATCACTTCCTCTATAGCACTTAATTTTCTAACTCCTGGAAGGAGGCTGGGCAAATAAGAAAAGGCACCCCACTTTCAAAGGCTACTAGAGGCACCCTGAGGCATCATCTGACCATACCCAGACAGTTACTGGGGACCCCGGGTGTGTGTGAAGGCTCACATAGACAGGGGCCTGAATCTCTGAGGTGACTACACTGGGCACAAGGCAGCACTGTGCACTGGCACTGAGACAGGGTGACACAGGGCACAGAACGCTCTGTGGCAGTAGTTCTTTACATGTGGGATTCACCAGTGTTTCTGACTTCTTAGTAGTGGCCATGATCTATTTTCATATAGACTCTACACTTCTTTAGGTCAGCTTCTAGGAGAGAAATCTGTAATGTCAAAAATACATCTCAACTCTACAGTCACCACACGTTATCAGCTCCATTACCCTCACCTTGGTAAACACGTCCAGCTACAAGTCCCTGCACCCCAGCCAGGTAATCCAGTCACTGGCTTCTTTACCTAGACGCTTTTGTGGCACAGATATCTTTTGATAACCCTAGTATTTTAGGGATGTGAAATCATGGGAATGAAACCTATGAGTAAAGAAAAGTTTTGAAATTTTGAATACTGATTTGGTTAATTTTTAAATGTATTAAATTTGTCTGAGTTTTCTGAAACTGAAATATAATAACAGTATATTTATCCTGATAGTCAAGTGGTCAACAACTGTATTCGTGATTCATTTCATGGGAATTACAAGCCCAAAAAATACACTGGCAGTACCCAAAACAATAGTTTACAAAATCAGTAACATCACAAAACTATATACACACTGAAGAAAACCTAGTCATCTGTTACTACTGGAACAGACATTAACAGCCTCCTTAAACAAATGTATGGCAACATAAACATCAAGAATCTTGAAACTAGAGGCTCGTGAGGCTGCGAGCCCGCTCTGGATGGTACACTTGGAACCCGAGGGGTCCGCTGGGCTCCAGACCCCTCCAGGTTGTCCCATATGACATTCCCTCCCATCCTACTCAGTCGCTGCCACATCAGTGTCAGTAAGACTGACTCAGTTTCCAAAAATTCTGGTTTACCCCTTTGAGCTAGGTAATTTCTTTCTATTCTCAAATTCTTGACCAAACAAATGTGTTAAGAAAAGGGTTTTGAAAAAGGAGTGAGTTAAATCTTTACTTACCCACTAGCATTTCAAAAAGGAAAACCCCCACGGACCACCAGTCGCACTCCCGCCCATAATAACCGTCGCCGCCTTGAGACTTCAGAACCTCGGGCGATATATAGTCCGGGGTTCCGACTGCTGTGTCACAGTGCACCATGCCTGTCTGGGAACAAGAGAAAGCCACGTGGGTCAGTGTGGTAATGCTGCGTCGACACAACTCACTCACTTCCTGCCAGCAGCGCTGCAATGATGGGTGAAAGGTGGGCACTGTGTGACGCTGCAGAATGCAGGATGGGGGCTGGGGGTGAGAGGACAACTCTAAGACAGGCGGCTTCATCACCCAAAAACGGAAAAGGTGGTAACCCCTGTGGAGACTATGCATGCCAACACCTTTTAGGGTTCTGTCCTTATCCCCGATTTCATAGAGTAGTTCTAAGAAGTGCAAAACACGGTCCCAGAGCAGCACCTACCCTAGGGAAAGGAAAAGAACCCATTAGAGAAAAGAAGCCCTAACTGTTCCCAAAGAAACTATCATGAGATTCAGAGAACAACTAACGGCTTCAGGGTTTGGAGGGTGTATAAATAAACAGAGCTTATTTTATTCAGAAAAACAAGGAAACAGACCAACTTTGAAATTGAAAGATCTTAAAATTTTAAAAGCTACACTTCTGATCTACATATTTAGAAATATACCAATGTGTTGATAAAGCACCCTCATCCTGTATAGGGTTAGCACATAATAAAAATCACTGTAGGCTGCTGTGAGTGGGCTGAGACCCATGGCAGGCAGAGGGGGTTGCCAAGCAGCACCACTGCTGGGCACACAACTGAGAGTATTCCTGCACCCAGGCCCTGGCCTTCTAGGGGTGTACAGATACTTGAGCCTGTCCTACGGAGACTGCATCACCCACGGTCCCATAGGGATGCTCTTAAAAATAACCAATCACCATTAATCCCGTGGGATTCATATAAATGTGCTTATTTAGGTGTTATAAAAACATCTTAAACATGGGAAATAAATTTCAAAAACAATTTTTTCATCCTCAAACTGGCAGAAAAAGATTCCATAACTTTATTTCCCCAAGCATCTAGCATGAAGGGAATAGAAATAATTTTAGTGTGGAGATAAATAATTTTTATGGAAATTGAACTAACTGGGAGGAATAGTCTGTGTACTGCAACATAGGACAAAAGAAGACAAGACAGTTTGGGAATTCACACTGCAGGGTAGTTTTTCTTTTTGATGGTGCTGGGCAGCATTGTGTCCCTACCCCACCTCCTCCGCTGCCCGGCACCCCCAAGGGCTATCCTGTATTTTACACTTTGATGGGGGAATTAACAGGGCAATGAGAGCAAAGAGACTCTTAATTTCACCTGCATCCAAAGAAACAAGACTTTAATAAAACATGAACCATGTGAAGATTTAAGAGCTAAATTCAATTACTGTACACATAAATACAACTAAACAAAAATTAATTTAGCATTCAAAGGTTCTGAGGAAAGAACAGGCAAGACAAAAGAACTCATATACAGGTAAGACCGTGAAGAAGGCACATGTCAACAAAGGGCACTGACAGCTCAGGAAAGAAAAAAGAAAAAAAGTGAGCAAGCCTGAAAAGAGGAAGGAGACAGGCCTCCCATGAAGGCAGTAAAGTCCAAGCCCAGCAAAAGCACGTCCACAGGATGAGGAAGGCAGCCAAGCTCGGTATCAGCTCTACTAAGCACCAACAAAGTAAACATTTCAGAAGAACTCAAGTTTTTTAGTAAGTAAACCAGATGAACAGTGCTCTTCTTTGGAAAAACTAATGTTTAATCCATAATTCTTGGCTCTGAGAAGCTTTTAAAGATCAACATTTGAAAAAATACTTAAGATGTGTCAAAATCAGCTCATGAGGAAGCTCTGCTTATATGGATTTACAACCTCAAGATATGGCCAGTCTCTGATCTGCTGACCAGAAACCTGGAAAGGATCGATCTGAAACTGTAGGCTGCTGCATGGCCGAGAACAGGTGAGACAAGGCAGGCAGAGGGCACGGGAGGATGGGCAGCAAGGAAACGAGCGAGTGCCCCTCGCTGAGCACAAACTTCACAGAGCTCTAACCTTAAAACTACAGGAAGCTTCCCGTATAGCAAAGTAAGATGGGAATCCGTCTTGGACATGAATCCCATAACCACAATGCACACGGCTAGGAGGATAAAAGCAACTCCAAGTAACTCTGGAGAAGAATATGCTAACAGGGGGCAGTAAGGGCACATTTGATAACTATATTTAGAAAGTCAGTAAATCTCTTTGCTACAATGCTAGGGACTAGCAATTAGGTAACAGGTTTAGGTGTTCACTAGGGTTAAACAAGTCAATATACCACATAGGAAACAACAGCCAGGTTTTTGCTGTCAAAGGAAGGAGGAAGAACAGAATGAATCTTGTGGAGCTGGACATATGCATGTATGACATTTATTGTGTTATCCATAAAAGCAGGCAGAAAATAAAACACATGTGGGCATGTGGCTTAGCAATACCCATTTCCTGTCCAATCCTGACAGCGGTGGCAGCGCACACAGTGTAGACCGTGCCTATCTCCTGGAGCTGCCTGACTAGTGTGTTTCAGGACACAGAGGCTACACGCACACAGCTCCTAGCATACTACCTCCCCAATTCTGTCCTCTATAAAGGGACCAGAGTTTCCTGGAGAAGCAGCTGGCTCCAGGGCTGACCAGATACAGAGTTCTGAGGATTTTGTAGTCTCCAACGATAAGATGCTGCTGCAAAGAGGCACACACTGAAGGACACTGGAGCAACAGTGGTGATTCGGTTCCCACGCTGAGCAGCAATTCTCTGGCCCAACTGTGCAGCAGCCACTATGCGGGCCAGTGCAGGATGGACTGTGACTCCTGATCCTGACCCATACAACACTGACACAGGACTGGGAATGAGAGGAGACCAGATGCAGGTCCTGCGGTGAGAGGCTTCACATGACAGAAAGCAACGGAGCCTCCTAGATAATCAGGTCTGTACTTTCAGAAAGTTCCTCAAAGTTTTGTTAAACATTTCTTTCAGCTTTGGAAAGGTGTATATGCTAAGTATTATTTGGTGTTTCTGTTTACTGAGTTTACTGAGAACAAAAAATTGGTCAGTCATAATCTTGAAGTTGACCTCAGAAACAATTCAAATTACTGCCTATGAGGGCAGAAAAGAAAAACCATGGTAAGTACCACGGTTTGACTGTCACCTCGCAGGGGCTTTTCTATCCTCTCTGAAAACGAAAAGCAGCTCCATGCATCCTCGTCAGAGACTCAGCCCTTGGCCTTGTGAATCTCAGTGGTGGCCCGCCATTCTCGCTCTAACAAATGCACAGCCCTGAGGGCTTCAGCCCCATGCCCGTGGGGCCCAGTACTGCACAAAGCTGCCCCCAGATACACTCATGGAAGTGCTTCACATAGACACCACGGATTACAGAAGTTTATCATTCTATCAGTTATTTCAGACTTTATTATGATTACAGATCATGTTTGCTGTTCACCCTTTCAGACCGTATTATGGTAAATACCACAAGAGGGAGCCTCAGGAACAACCAAACCACCAGCTGAACACGAGGTACCGGCCATGGATACAGTAACACTGCATCCCAGCTTTCTAAGTCTTCAGGCAGAATCTAACAGCAGAATAGAAGAAAGGAGGCAGGACCATTCCCCATCAGGGCGGATGGGCAAAGCACAAATAAACCAACATGATGATCAGCTATGAGAATATTTCTGGATCTATTAAGAATATGAATTATTTAATGACAGTAAGTGATGTCCTCAAACTTATTCTCTATGCTTGACACAAGAGGGTGGGAGGGAGGTATGAGACATTTTGCCCCTTATTTTACCTTAACTCCTTAGTTAAAAAAAAAATACAGAAATCCCAATAATTGTAGAAATACCTCTGTACCTGGATTTAGATTCTGTGTCCTAATCCTATACCCTGATTATTGTCTTAGCTGAGACAAGATACCCAGCAGCCAAAGTTAAAAGGATGAGAGGTTCATTCGGCTCACAGTGTGTAGAGGTTTCAGTCCAGAGTGGACTAGCTCTAAGGCAGGGTGGTGGGGCAGAGGGGCAGCAGTCACAGAGGCAGAAGGCAGTAAGGAAGCAAAGCAGCAGCAAGCACCTCTCTGGCAGCAGCCCTCTCTGTACCCTGTTCTATCCAGGTTATGTGCCCTTAGGGTCATGCCCATCCATGGATAACATAGTGACCACATACCCTTAACCCCAGCATCACACACTCCAGGTGAAGCCGTCTCTGAAAAGCCCCACCTGTGAGTGCGTGAGGCTTGGGAGGACCTAAATATCACACAAACCACCTTAATGGGCAACAAGCACTTTGGACACAACACAAGGAAGGTAACTAGACATCAGCTTTCCTTTCTCTTGCATGCAGCATGTCTACTAATATTACACACTTAAATGAAGTCTGGGCGAAAGGAATGTTTGAATTTAGCTCTGTAATTCGCTGCACTCAGTGATCTTCACCCACTCTGTGCTGCTCCTCCACACTCTCCTGGCCCACTTACCTCGTCCATCTTCATGCAAGTGCCGAAGTCCGCCAGCTTCAGGTGCCCGTGCCTGTCCAGCAGCATGTTGTCAGGCTTCACGTCCCGGTGGATCAAGCCCATGGAGTGAATCACATCCAGAGCCAGCACCACTTCCGCAGTGTAGAACTTGGCCCATTTCTCAGGCACGTCATAGTTACTCATCAGGTTCACAAGGTCCCCACCGGGCATGTATTCCATGACCATGTACAAATACCTATCATCCTGGAAGGCACAGAAGAGCTGGACGACAAGAGGCAAGAAAAAACAGTTTTAAAAAGACTTATAAAGGGAACAAACACCCTTTTTACCAGTGAAAAAGACAAGTTATTTTATAACTAAAACTGAGTTAAAATTCATGAGATCCTTTATTTTAGACTTAGACATATTCAAGGGTAAGGCAGGAGGAGACAAGATTTTTGTAGAACATACAAAAATCAATGTTCTTCTCTCTGGGGAAAACCCAATACTGTATAGAAAACTAAATTTAAACATCTGAAAAGAGAAACAGAAGGGGAATGAAGAAGATAAAAAGTGTGAATGAGAGAAGAATTCACTACAGCTTAAAAACAAATAGCTTTTTGAAAACTAAACATACTATTTACACACTCCTCACAGACAGTGCTGAGGAGAAGGGAGCAGTCTAGAAACATCTAGAAGCTATGTATTCGCTGGATGTAAGCAAGGCCCCAGGGTCACAAGAAGGAGTACGCAGCATGGACTCTACCCCTCCCTCCCTCCCTGAATGGCACTGTGAGTGTGAGCAGTGAACAGGAAGCTCCTGGACCACACTCGCCAGAAAGGACCTGTGTACCTAGCACAGGACGCCACACACACACAACACACCCAGAAACAGCAATGCAAACAGAAAAGCACTTCAAGAAACAAAATTAGGTGCAGGAATTTAGCTCAGCAGTGCAGCACTTGCCTGGCAAGTGCAAGGTCCTGAGTTCAATTTCCAGTACAAAACAAACAAATAAACAAAATTAATATTCAAGGAAACACCATATAATACAAATCGAGGACAGCTGTAAATATGTGAAGTCAACACATACAAAAGCTAACAAATATGGTACTAATTAAACAGTAAGCTGATAAGGAAGAAATCCTGAGCTCTAGGAATAAAGTACATGGTCACTAAGCAGAAAATAGATTACACGGCTAGGAGAGTGAACAAAGAACCTTTCTCTGAACACACCAAAGGGTTAAGAGAAATAATGAGCAGATTTATTATGTTTTGCATACATCTAATGCAAAATGAAAAGGAAGACAGGAGGAGACTGCTGGTGCTACGGTGCAGCCCCTAGGGTGGCGTTACCGGGAGGCAAGGCCTGGGTCAGCAGTGGCATAGCAGTCGCCGCAGGAGACTTTACGCCAAGCAGACTGCAGGGCCCAGGGCCACATCTGCTCCTGGGGTCCGGCACACTCCTGCCTCTGTGGTCTGTGCCAATGCAATACAGTCAAGGCATTTTCTGTGTAAATCTTAACCTCCCCCACCTCCACAGCTCATTGTAAAACTTATGTGGACATGCAAAGGACCCAGAGGAGCCAAAATAATCCTGGCCAGAATTCAGTAGAAGGACTTCTATTTCCCAATTTTAATGCTTACCACAAAACTAATCAAGACAATATTAATACTGGTATGAGAATACACAAACTGAGTAATGGAACAGAAAAGAGTCAAGTAATAAACTTTTGATTTAACAGTGGAAAGGTAGTATTTTTTAAAATAGTGCTCAAACAACTGGATACCTACAGGCAAGAAGATTGTTAAAGTGAAAATGTCATTAAGGCAAAAATGCGTTCTCTACACACACACAAGACAGTGTGTATGGCTGGCTGGGAGCTCAGGTCTGCACTGCTGCCTAGCACGAAGTGTACCAGGTCTTATTTCCCAAATGAGCAGCGATTGCAGCTCAAAGCCCTAAATGCAGCTTTCTCTTTACCCCACAGGACCAGAGGTGAGCTAGACAAGTTCGGAGCTCAAAGGGAAGGAGCCAGAGGTGGCTCCCAAGGACAGCGCCTGTGGGACTTCCAGGAGAAGGACGACGGGTGGAAGTGCGAGGGATGAGTCGAGGGAGGACACAGAAGGCCCAACGCTGAGAGAGCAGTGAGATTTGACTTGGAACTCATTCTCCTGCCAGGAGAGACATGACCAGGATGAATGATGAAACTTGAGTGGGGGCTGAGCACCAGCCAATGCTGCATCGCCAGTTATCACCATGTCAAGAAGCACCGCTACAGATGCTGTGCAGGTGTGTGGCCAGACATTGTGTGGTCTCCCAAACTCACGTGGTGAAACCTCGAATCCCAGTCTTCAGGGGTCACAAGAGTGGGTTTCTACTATAGGATTTGTGCCCTTATGAAGTGAGAGCGAGAGTCTGCCTGACTTTGCTCTGCCAGGGTAGTAGGGGAAAAGAAAGGAGCTGTCCAGGCCTGCACTGATGCCTGAGAAGGATCACACCCCAATGAGCATAGAGAAAGTGACAGACATCCCAGGGGAAGGAAAAATGAAGACACATATGAGCACATCACAGAAGATACCGTTTAAACATGAGAAGGAATTTGATCCCATTAGAGAAGGAAAAGTCTACAGGCTGCAGTTTTAGCTCAGTGGCATTAAGGGCCTGCCTGGCAAGCCTGAGGTCACGAGTTCAATCCTCAGTACAAAAATAAATAAATAAATAAGTAAATAAATAAATAAAAAAGAGAAATCTAACTACTGTACAGTATCATTTCGCATGTACTAAAATGACCAGGAAAAAAATGTAAACTGACAATATCAAGTGGTGGCAAAAGTGGGGCACAGGCAGAATTTATAAATAAACCGGATGACACCAGAAGGACTGTGCACAGGAACCTGGGCACACTGCTCGGGGTAGGAACACACCAAACACGGGTGAGGTGCAAACCCTAAGACACTGTGAGTAAGAGACAAATTTCCAAAAACACTTCAATACTGGTCCTATACAGACAATGACATCAAACACAGCAAGACAGTAAATTCACTGAACAGCCCGGGTGAATCTTGAGTCACAGACTCTGTGACACCGGGCAATACCTCGGGAGACATGGAAAACCACACCAACTCATCTGCCTTGTTATAAAACTAGATCTCAGTCTTGCACGCTTTGGCTAGTTTCTTTTCTGTATGAGAACTGTATTTTCAAAAAACTTCAGAAAACACGTTCGGTACAATCTGAATGTAAAATCTGGTAAGATGTGAACAAATACATAGAGATAAAAACATATATGGAGCAGAAAAGGGTTTAATTAGAAATATTTGCAAAGCCTATTGAAAATGTAAGATGTTTAAAGTCTGGTTATTCACCTTAACACTTATCAAAACACACTATAGGAAATAACCTTAAAGTTCCCTTGTTAAATAAGTAGTGTCGATGGTATTACATGCTGTAGACTTAAGCATAATTATCAATTTTTTTTATTTTTGTCAGAAACAGAAGTTGAATACCCTGACTCACTTCACCACACAGCAGTTTAATGGCTTTATAGCAGTAAAACTTCATTACAATTATTCGAGCTCAGAACAGACTGAAATTTGGCTGAGGAAAAATTCTCAACCATCTTCCCAAACACCAAAAAGTTCAAGGCAAAACACTTGTTATATGTAAAACTTATACTACACACAACTGATTTGATGACAGTAACAATTACTTCATAAACAGCTTACAAACAAGAAGCAAGATCCTCAATCCTACACAAATTTGAAGTGGATACACTGTCTGGACTCACACTAGTATCACAGTGCAGCAGAATTTCTCTACCCAAACATACATGCAAAAGAAAACTCATACTAGAAAACTCACTCAGCCTTTGCACCTGAGGAGCATCTATCTAACCTTCAAGTGCAGTACTTAACCCTTAATAGAATGACCTGATCAAACAGCTAAGATCATGAAAGACATTTAAAAGAATGCTTTCAGGCTGGAAATTTAGCTTAGTAGTGCAGCATCTGCCTGGTAAGCATGAGGTCCTGAGTTCAATTCCAAAAAAGTTTCAAATGCCTTCTCAAATCTAAATATGCTCAAAATCACATGCTCCAGAACAATGTCAACAGCTATAAACCTGAGTAGGTTCCCTTACTATGTCACTGAAGTGGTGCTTTATGTGCTTTCTCTCAAAAAGCAAAGCCATGAACCTAGTCTAAATAATAAAATAGCAGATGTATTTCAATAGAGGAACATCTATATCCTATAATATATCTGACAAGTACTCCTCAAAATCGTTATGAAGTCATCAAAAACAGTGAAAGCATGATAAACTGTCATAGCCAAAGAAAAATGAAGACACGATAATGAAATATAACATGATACAATACCCTGGGATGGAAAAAGACATTAAGTAAGAACTAAGAATCCTGAATACATAGTATTCAAGTGAAGTAGACTTTAGTTACTAACAATACATCAATATTGGTGCATTCACACATTTCTAAGGCATTAAGAAAGGAAACTAGATAGGACAAAAGGCACTTCTTTCTACTATATGCTCAGTCTTTTTTGTAACTCTAAAGGCTTCCTTTAACCACATGCTGATGGTGACAAGTACTTGGTATCTAGTATACGAAGAGACATTTTCAAAGATGAATATGCACAGTCTTCTTACTTATCAACATTACCAGGTAACATCTACACTCAATTTTGATGGCTGGAAACAGTAATTTTGAGCCCCCATTAGGCAAAATGCTATCAATCCAGAAAAGAATTTCATTGCTCTTATTATCTATATTTTTACAACTTGCATTTCCAAATCTTTATTTTACTCATTCCTGTTTGCAGTACACAATGATCAGATTCACCACAGGAAGTCAGGATACAACACATCTTCTTTCTTTTATGACCCCTTCCCCACTCCCTCCACCTTTATCATCACTTTGAATTTCTCCAATAAAACTGATAGAACTTTGTTATGTCAGTTTATAAATACTTACACATTTTCAATTGTGCCTCTCAGGCTGCAAAAACTAAAATATTTCCATCTGTTTCTTTATAAAATGTTTGCTAATTCCTGGGGCAGATGAAACAAAACTGGCCCTGGCAACTGCTGACGCTGGATAAACACAGAATTCAGTAGAAGTACTTTGTTCTCACTTTGGATAGGTTTGAATTTTATCATCTCTGCAGACAGACACAGACACAGACACAGACACACCCCTCACTCCCCAGGACCTCACACATTCTAGGCAAGGGCTCAGTCACTAAGCTATGGCCCCAGCACTAAAA